TCCCTATGTAAAATTACCTCAATGTATAATTGGCACAAATTGCTCAGGCGGCAAATACTTTGTACTAGCGAGTCTTGTTGTTGTCTTTTGTTATCCAGTCAATAGTAACTCAATTATATTGCGGGCGTTGTGTGTGTGTCTGTGGGAAGACTATGAATACACTTCCAAGAGTCTCACAGACCGATAGACAGGACACAAACAACGATATTCCAGTTTTACGGATTTCATTAAGTCATCTATTGGCAGTGCATTCGTGCATTCCTTACATTCGTATTACCTTTGAAGTGCATTGAAATTATTGATTAGTGCATTGACATAATTAGGTTTATTTCAATTTTTTTTTCATCGGAGACCAAGCAGCAAGACATTGACGTAGACATAGTCAGGTGTCTGTTATGCATAGACAGCAGTTTAATAATAACCTGACTTCAGGGTCACAGACCCGTTACTCTTCATTAAGAATGCACGTCGACTCTGATACCTGGAAATAGGACTAAAGTAAATTTCACGTTGTCATGACAACGTAGTTGCAGATAAAAATCTACGTGACCAAATCTGTGGTTTTTTTTAGTACACATGTAAACACATTTTTCGCGACAGAACTACTTTTTTTTCCAGTTTGAGAAGTGCTGAGCCATTTGCGCTACCCGGATGGCTGTATATCGCCTGTATGTGTGGCTCTCTTCCCTGTCAAGCAGGATTTTTTTATCAATTCTACAATTACGCACGAACGTGCCACAACCACGTTTTCGACTGTCAACCGATTATCTCGTACAGTGTAATTTGATTTTTAAAGTTCAGTCTTTCGGTTGAAGGTCCATATAACTGTTTTACTTAATTTTAAGGTTCAGAAAAAGGACAGTCGACGGGCTGCAGAGAAATTTAATGCACAATAGACTTGCTCTCCAGTATAACATTTTTGGGTTTCTTTTTAGATCAGAAATGTGAAGGAACGTTTAACGGTAAACGTTAAAAATCCAAAGGACTTTCATATATAGCCAAATACATAAGTAAAATGTGTGTTTATAACGTTCGATATAAAAATGCAACGCTGTAATAAACTATAAGATTGTACAAAACACATTAAAGAAACATATTTTTAAAAAGGAAAAAAAACTAGAGAAACAAAGAGCACATAAGAGTAGCAAAGGGCTTCTCAATTGAAAGCGCCAATGTAACAGTAAACGTAAACATTCTTTGCTACGATGAGTTCGTCCTTAATGAGCGCCTAATGTGCTCATTGCTAATAGTTCAAGTAATGTCAACTGAGATAATGTTCCAATGACATTTATAGATACAAATTTTGTTAAATTACACCAGGAGGGCTGTGTAATAGACGTTCACTGTGGCGACACCCGCTAATTATTGAATTCATAATACCCATCCTTGAAGTAACGAGGCCCTGTACAAAAAAACAAAAACAATACTGGCTAATGCTTTTATTAACGCGTGGCCTTGGTGTAAGTAATAACGCCAATGAGTCTACGATGAAGGTACAGTTCGCCTAATGGTACCCCAGTAGCAATGGTAGCGTTATCTTGAGGCGGAAAGCTTGTCACACGAACCAGCTTCGTTGACTTCCGGTGAATAACAATGCCATCGCTAGGGAGATTGTCGGCCATTTTTATTTCAAATAAGGAGATTGCAGTTGTGAAGGAAGACGGATATGAAAGGTGATGTAGTACGATTGAGAGGGCATTGGTTTGGTATGGCTAGGATAGGCATTAGAAACCTTTGTTCATTATTGTTCGAAATTAAAATAAACACAGAATACCCTCAGAACCACACGCACCGCTCGAGGTATATTGAGTGTTTTAATAGTCAAGGAGACCTCTTTAACTTCCAATTTTCATTTTTGGAAATTTGATTTCGAGGATAGAAATACAGCTACGTATATTGAGGAATAACTTTAAGGTTAATGCTCCAGCCCCCCTCCCCCAAGTGATATTATTTAAAATACTACGACCGACTTCAGTCAGTTCTACATACAAATTACTGGAATGAAGAAACAAGTGCAAAGCCAACGATGGATTATATCACCTGTGTAAAAATGAGTCAGAAGATATTATATAAATTTGCTATACAAATAATACAAACATGATAAAAGCCTTCAACAAATTATCCAATATAGCTTCAAGTACGTGCTGAAATTGGACCTCAATGCAAAGGTAATACCGCCGTGAAAAAAAAGTTAAAACAGGCCGAACCTTTTGAATGCCATGGCACAATATTGAACGCCGTGTGCCGTGATGAATTATTGAAAACAATCGTATTTCCTGGGATTTCGACGGCATTAATGAAAACACCACCTGCGTTTGTTCCGTTAAGGATTCGATTTCGTTCGGGTCAGTCTATCTTCAAAAACAACCTGGATAAACGAATTAATCAGATACATGTATACGGCAATATCAGGCGCTGCTGAAACTCCTTTCCTTTCTGAAAGGACCAACAAAAAAAACATAACCTATTAGGGGTTAAAATGTTTGGAATTTAGGGCAAGATATGAAGGACAATTTGATGTTCGATTGTGGAAAATACTGGAATGTATTAAAATTTAGGTCAACCTTTAAATACAAATTTAGTTCATTTATCGTAGCAACAACTGCGGACTCTGTGTGAAATGTTTTGGAGGCGAGCTGGACGTCGCATTATTATTATCTTATTATTATTATTAGTAGTAGTAGTAGTATTAAAACTACAAATGTAGCATTAGGGAGACACGTTATCGTAATTTCTTCGACAATAGGGAGACACCTGTCATTAGGGAAACATTTTCATGTCTCCCTAATTCCACAGCCCCCCCCCCCCCCTTTAGAGGCACAATTTTACTGTCGCAAAAGAAGACTTTGACCGGCAATAAAGATGATTGAAGTTATTATTTTGAAATGTCAATATCTGTAAATTTCCGATAGCTGTTGGCGCCAATATTCTCCATGTGGCCCCAGAGAGTACGTATAGACGCGGAGAGCAGAGTTATCGTCTTTAGATTATATCTTAAGGGATGTACGCTATCTGTTAGGACCCTATTCTCGCCTTAGGCATTACCAGATTGGTTTGGTATAACACAATTCAGCACCACACCTCTGTGTATTGCTGATTATCGAGTCGACACACTTTCTATCGGTCGTCGTTCTCTATAACTTGAGTATAAGCCAAAACAAGCGTGTCGCCGTGTAAGAAATTAATACAACATCAATACTAAAGTCACGCCCGTAATCCATACGACTTAGGCTACGTGCTTGACATGGATATCAAGCGCAATATGCCTGACGATGGAATTTGATACAAGAGTTTTCTAATGTAATTCAAAGAGCGATTTTACTTTGGTGAAACCATATAGGCCTAGATGTGTTAAAAGCTTGTATGTGTGTGTGAAAGTCGCTCATTATCAGACTGGAAGCCATTCAGAGTAAAAGGAAAAGGATTTAAAGAAACAAAATATGCTTGCCTTATTCTTATTTAAACTTTGTTATTTATTTCTATTTTTATGTTTTTTAAATCATATTACATTTTAATACATCTAATCAAAGTTTTGTTCCCTTTGTTCACAGAATGGAAATTATTAATTACAATAAGTAACCCTCTGACAACAAAAAATCTCACAGATATGTGAAACCAAGCACCAAAATATGCATTAAGATTGCATACAAGCATCGACTTCAAAAGCACCTGCTTCTGTTTCGTATTACCATGAATATTAGCTCGCAAAAGCAGGACAAAGCATCAGCCTCGATGCAGGAGAGTTCCTTTTCAGTGTTTTTGGAAAAAAAAACTATAGCCTTGTACTTCCACTGCAGGCTGATGGGTAATTTGTTTACAGCAAGTTGAATGAAATGAAAAATGTTATGTTAGTATTAATATTCAAGTCACAAGCTAATTCAATCGTGCATATTAGGTTATGTCTGCTTTTTAATGTGTCTCCGCTTGCACTTTTCTAATCCGATTATGACCTGGGAAGGTTTAATCGTATCAATTGACGCATCGGCCATGCTTTTGGCGGGTAAGATCCAGAGAACCAGACCTCGCGGGATATTGCATGTAAAATTCATGAGTGTTAGTCTCTTTTGAATGTTGGTTAAACCGAAAAGCGTTTTAGGTTTAGGACTTTCAAGCCGTGTTAACCTTGGGGCGTCGCTCGTATTCTCGCGAGACTTGATCGGACATGAATGGTGGATTACTGTGCCGTGCCCCAGACGTTATATCCCGGGTTTTATTGAGATTTAAGAACATGACAGGCGGGAGTGTTTTCAGTACATCATGACACTCGTGCGACCTTGGGAATTTCTTGGCGCAATCCACACAACTGAAACGTAAAGCAGAGCAGAATGTTGGCAGAAACAGAAATGTTATGTTTCCATTTTGAGACAGTGATGGCCTCGTCTGATCACATACATGTCATCAAAATCCAATAATCCATAAACTGTCCCTTGATTCATTTTCAGTGGGTATTTGATGAAACTTCCATTATAAAAGTTTGGCTTCTGGCGTGAAATGAATGATCAAACATTTTTATTTGTGGAAAGACCTTCTGTGTATACTGTTTGTGTCTCAGAAAACGGCTTTTCTTAAAGACACTCTGTCTGTTGTTTCTTCATGGTGAAGTTTTAAAAAGAGAGATTTAAGACGCTCTTAGCAGTAACCTATTTAGCTCGTTCTTATAAACATCATTCGGTCATTTGAAGTCACGTAGGGTTTCACGAAGTAAAGCATTCTAAAAAAATAAGTCGTTGAGGTTCACAATCGTGAGTTAGGGGTCGGAACCTCACGGTTGGCAAATAATGGCAAGTGTGATGTTTGTCTTGGAACCTCATGACATCAGGTTTTCTCTCTTGCGTGCAATGTTGCAGTGCCTCAATTTCCCTAACGCCAATAACCTCACAGAAAACTCACAGTGTTTTGCTTAAAGTCGATTTCATGATTAGAAAATATTACAGCTGCGTGGTTGTTCATTATTTTCCAGTGATTCTAACCTTACAGTTTTTTATGTCTTTATTTTACAGCCGTATGGTTGCTGTCAATGGCTCTAGCTTCGCCACCCCTCATCGGCTGGGCCCGCTACGACTACCTGCCAGGACAATCCTTCTGCTTCTGCTACTGGGAGGACAGCATCAGCTACACGTTCTTTATGGTCATCGTCTGCTTCGGAGGTCCGTGCTCCGTCATGTCGTTCTGCTATTACAACATTCTGCGTGAGGTTCGCAGAAGTAGAAAGAGGTTGGCTTCTGGGCCTGGAGCCTCACCAGACGCCTCCAGTATGAACAGTGCACAGAGTGCCTTGAGTACAATCAGTAACAATAACTCTAGCGTGAGGAGGGGCAGAGAACCGAATGGACACAATGTTCCTTCCCACGAGGGCGCTATTAATCAAGGCTTTATAGGCGGGGATGGGGATGCTCAAGGGACGGTGAAGAAAAGTAGAATGACCTCACTGCATGAGGCATTGACGAGACAGTTTTCAAAGAAACGAATCAGAGTCGAACCAAGCAGTCCCGAGACTCATCTTCCAGGCTTAGTTCCTGGAGGAACCAGACCAAGATCGTTACCGACTCGAATCACGTCTATAAAGATCAAAGATGAACAAAGTAGCAATGCCAAAAACACCTCACCGGGTAGGACTGGGAGTAGATACCAGCCGCAAAACCAGTCGTCAACAACTTGTAAACCACCGACGATTCGACTTCAAGCGTTTAGCCGTTCGATGTCTCTGGACTCCAGGCGAGGCAGTGGTTCGTCGCTCATAGTAGAGGGCGAGGAACGTGTGACGAAACCAGGGAAGATTTCACCCAAAATTCAGGCCAAGATTGCCAGGCAGATCTCTGGATCCAATCTGGCTGTGCCCGGTCTGAAAGCTGCCGTTGGGATACGGAGGAAACGAGCTAAGACGCAGAGCGAGATGAGACGGAAGCAGGAGGAACTCAAACTGACCAAATCCTTCTTAGTTGTCATCTTAGTCTTCATCATCTGTTGGTTTCCTTTCTGCATCACGATGTTCTGGAGTGTCTTCTCTCCATGGCCCGTCTTCCGCCCCGCAGATATGGCGTCTCTTCTCCTGGGTTTCTTCAACAGTTGTTGTAATCCTGTCATATACGGCGTGATGAATCACCGCTTCCGTGCCGGTTTTAAGCACATCTTGTGCTGTCACTGGGCTCCTTGGCATCGACGGAGCCTAGGAGGCAAACTAGAATCCGATCGGGGATTTGGCTCGGTGACCGGAACCGCAGCTGGTGCTGGCTGCAATGATGACATCAGCTGCACAAACTAAAACAACAACCTGATTTTTTGGTGCACCCGAAGGAACAACCTACTATGCTCTGAATGACTGACACAATGACTGACGGACTGACGGACCGACGAACTGAGTCGCTGAGTATGATATCGTCGTAAACTGAGATTTTCGGGTCCAGAATGTACCATGTGGCAGGAACCTACAACTAAGTTACAATGTTTCGCAACTGTATATTTATATAAGGCGTATATCAAAACCATTGTTTTTTAAAGAAACATAAAGAAAATTTGAAAAAAACACCTATGCCGATTAAGTTGTGGCTAACCCCTGTAAAAACCTTCCATTTCAAAGACGATGCATTATTTTGAGAGAAAAGTGTTATTTTGACAGAAACGTGGTTTAATTTATGATATTCACTGTAAACTTCTCATATTTGAAAGAAGAGATCAAAACGTTTTGACAATTGAATTCATGTCAGAATAGAGTTTAATCTTGAAGAACTCTTAAAGCAATCGTAAAAAAAAATTACTGCATTTCTTTAGGAATGTGGAAGGTGTAATATGAAAGGCTATTTTACCAACTGTAGAAGGTGACTGATCGAGACATAATCTGAACTTGTATCCTTGCAATCATGGGATTTGACAACATATATCAACCTCCCCAGGAATGACCCCCACATCAATCCAATCTGACGTTGCGCAGGTGCCGTTAGGGACTTTCTCGTCACGGTTTCTAATCAAGAGATCGAAGATTAAGTTGAAGAGGCTTTTTTATTCGCTCCATTTCATTGTAGATATGGGAGTACCGTGGCAATCACGGACATCGAACTGCTATCAGGTGTTTGCAGGCGATTTATAGTGATTACTTTGTACCTATGGACACCGGCCACAATTGTCGATGGTGGCAATGTTAATTGCCGTAGGAGACGGATTCACATTTTGTATCACGACATTTACCCTGAAAAGCCGGTAAGGAATTTGCAACACCAATCATCTAGACTGGAGGATGCGCATTGCCATATTTTAATTTCCTATACATTTATTGCTTTTCTTCGTACTGTTATACCTTACAAATTGGAAGAAATTCCAAAAACAAATTGAGGAGTAGTGTCAGAACGTATTGTGCACGTGGTGGCAATTGCCAATCTGACCAAAAGAACTCAAGTCAAGATATGGGAAAATAGAATTGGAGAAGACATAAAAAACACCCCTTTTTCTGTATTTTCTTGTTTTATGATACCATTTTAGCTTTGTTAATGGATGAAGTTGAATGCCTCTTTCCACTTTTAATTATTTAAACTGCAATTTTCGAGATTATTTTCCTGTGGCAATGGATGGTAAACCATTCCGCCTTTGTTGTGATATCGCTAGTGATTGAGATAGTCGGAGACTCAACCAAAACAATACTAATGGGCTTCAGCCAGAAGTGCCCTAGTATGTAGAAGGAAAAACAATCCATTTTGTAAACGATACCTCTTTTGAAGCAAATCCAATTTCGTTGAGAGGTTGAAGCTTAAAACTTCCCATTTGATGACACATTACAGCGTAGACAAAAATAATAAATATGGTCACACCCAGGGACAATTAAGGGGAAAGAGGTCGGATTGGATGTACAAGGAAGGTATAGCTTTTCATTTCCTGGGGAATTCGGTATATTTTGATGGCGGTGTTGGCCTTTTTTTGTTTCTTACTTATTGGAATTCCTCTATCGAATACTCGCCGAATTGTTTAGTTTTTACTTAGAGGTTTAAGCATTTTTTTACGGACGTGTAAATGTACAATTGACAGGCTGGTTGGCATTCCTGACAAGCAGAGACTGAAACTAAACTTGTCCAGTATATAAAAAGCAGAGCTTATTATTAGTGCCCCCAGCCACACACACCTGCAACCTATACATCCCATAACCGGAAATTGCTTGCAGTATTGATCCACATCCAGGACAATCTACTACTATTACGAGGGTCTCATTTGTGGAACTGTTAGCACAGAAATTTGCTGATGAGCATCCAAATATTGGCTTAGTTAAAAAAAAAATGATAATAATAAGGTGCCCAACTGCCAGATAATGCATATGGATTGTGACTGTCTGCCGATAAATGCTTAGCACACAAATTTATTGAGCAAAGTTTTACGCTTAACTGTTCCGTGAACATGGGTCCAGGTAGTACATGTACACGCCGCCATTTTTGTCCATATGGAGTGAGCATAATGATGTATTATTTGATCATAGTTGCAATAGTTTTATAGGCATAAGTACATAACCTACCGAATAATTATATTTAAAAACAATCTTGGATTAAGATCGTACTGGTACTAAACAACCCGTGAAATTATTCCGTCTAGCTTGCTGTCATTTAGAAATAAACAAGAAATGTATAGGTGATTTCCGACGATCAGTCAATTCACGAAATCGTGTTTCGTGAAGGTTGCGCATGGTTGTCTGTTTTCTCGAAAAGTGTCATATTCACTGAGCTGAAACTTCAACAGGTTAGGTTTTGAACATTCGTCTTTGGATTTTGAGGGGTGTTATTATCGGTAACAAACAAAATGTATTTAGACGACTCTCAAAGGCGATTGCCTTTGACAGTCGCCTAAATTGATCTTTCGTGTCGCGAATAATTTTGTTATGGCGTTAATTTCAAAATACATCTGTATGAAAGTGTGAACTGTTTTTGACTGAGAGTATGCCAAATTTGGTTACTTTTTATTCTTTGCTTTGGGACTCAATGTATCATAAGGAAGTATTAGCGTGGAATTTTGACATGCTAATTTATAGCTTTGTGAATTGTATTTAGATTGTAACTTCTCCTGGTTTGCAACTAAACTGTACCTGGGATCGGTATCAAGGGTTGCAGTATGATTTCGAATCTAAAATCTTAAAACATCATGTTCATTACTTTAATCTTACTAAAAGTAGAAACTGATATTTTTGTGTGCATCAGATCGCACAAGTATATCTTTTAATAAATTACACCTGTTTCTACACCTTACAGTAATTGATTAATTTCATTTTCCCCCTTTTAATTCACGAGTGCCAATTACGTTTGTTTTGTGTTGAATGTCACTCAAATTGCATCGTTCCATAAATACCATTTGAGGGACTATCAAGTTGATGAACAATTGAAAATCTTATTTGTTCATGGGATACGTTTAGTTTGTTAAATATTTACATTGATTCGTAAATTGGGCCTTGTTTAAGACAGTTTGTTAATATATAGTATTGAATTTGTACACTCATTTTGAAACAAATGATGTTTTTAACTAATGCGGTGCTTGCAAGTAATTATTGTATAAATTTGTACTTATTTTCGTAAATAAAATCATTTTAAGCTTTGCAAATATTTAAAACAGATTCATATTGCATTCATAAATAAGTTTATTTGGTTTTGTCATCTTCATTATGTTTGGAGCTTTCGAAACATTGTAAATAAATATAAAAACCTGCACACGTATATTGTTTCTAATTTTTCATCACAAATAGGCCCTAGAATCTAGAATATCAAATGTTTTGAGTTACCGTAACAAAAAATGATTCTCTTCCAACGAATCTGAAATGCCCTACTCGTACAAACATAACATTATTTTTTCTGGATTTCACTGGAGGGCGCCATAGCATTTCAAGACAGCTGCGCGTTGGACAACCGATGACGCAACAAAGACGCGCGCGCTACCATAGGTAACAAGCGTCAAACGCATTTGGGCGCGGCACCGCGTTCACTGTACCAGCTATCTGCGCTTGGTACGTAAACAGAGTATCACAACTTTTGTCCTGATTGCAACAAACCAAGAGAGTCGCAGGGCTTTATTTTCAAAATTCAATCCTGGTGATTACTTGGGGGACAGTATGGCTGATAACGAACTCGCTAACCGTCTTCAGAATCGGATTGCAGTCGAAGAAGGGAAAGATGTGGATAAGAAGATGAGAGATTATCGAGATCCGCACGAGGAGTTTGCGCATCCCTACCCAGAGTTTAGCGAGTTTACACGAGAACAATGCGCTATGTATGAAGATATGTTCGCACAGTAAGTCACAGCCAACGCTACCATTCTAGTAAAAAAAAAGAGATGGGATACACCTCAGCAACATAAAAAAGGATTGAGAATAGCATAATGAAAAACGACGCGAGCCTATGTCTTACTCTATACTTGATATTAATCTTATTTCAAATTACTTATACGATACCATTTATTATTGAGTCTACAAGCTAGCTGAGACCAAGTAACAAACTACATGTACCTCAAAATATGGACAGCGATTATTTTGTTAGCATTTATGTTTGACAAATTGATAAATGTAGCTTTTTTTTTAAGAATAAAAACTGGCAATACAATGTCATAAATGCGTCAATGAATAGCTTTTGCCGTTGCTATTATAGACTATCTTTTGTAAATGCACTAAACCAGGGCGGGTAAACAAACTTCGATTTAAGATGAGTGGATTTTTGTTTTGAAAAAGGTACGATGAGAACAAAGATGACTTTCTGTGTTACGACGAGCTGAAGGCCATGATGGAGAAACGAGGTCAACCACTGACCCACCTTGAACTCAAAAAACTCATCGTAACATTGGATGAGGATCAAGATGGAAAATTCAACTTTAGAGAGGTATACCAGGGTACACAGACCGAGGGCGCTGTTTATGTTATATATGCCAGCTAGTACTATCATGCAGGACTTCCAGGCCGTTGTTCATTTCTAATTTGGATTAAAGATGAAACAAACAAACACAAAATTATATATGATGGTGTCACAATAATTTAGTCACAAGAAACATTAGAATGTTTTGACCTGACACAGTTTTGTCGTTTGTTTTCAAAGTCCATGGGGAGTCGTGAAACATTTTCAGAGTTTTCTAATAATTTGGAAATGCATCACAGCACAAAAGTCATGTTTTAAAACATTAGTTGAGGTAATTTGTGGTTCAAATTGCGGCGTCCGAATTCTGCATTCTACTCTAACAATACTTATTTGGACAAGTTCTTGAATCTTGAAAAGGCATGATATTAACATACAAACAAGGCAGCAAGCAAAACCAGAACTAGAGGGCGCCATTAAACTTCAACGGTGGTAATGAAAGCTTACCTACAATAATCCGTGTAAGATTTGCACAATAATGATCTGACCGATTGTATGATGTGAAGTTGCAGGTTTAGCTTGAAGGAACCTCGTGGGCGTGGCTACGGTAGAATGATCAAACCCAGTTGTGTGTTGTGCTATGTCCGAAACATCCAGTTCAGTTTGATTACGATGGCTGTACAACTCCAACAGTTTTTTTGTAATGAGAACATATGACGGTTTACAGTTTGAAGTTTCCAATTAGGCTGAGACTCTTAAGTTCGTCTTGTTCAGTGCCATGCCACAAGCAAGTACAAAGTGGCTGTTGTGACAGGCACCGTGTCTGTACGTATGGATAACACCTCCATGCATGTATGTTAACAACTGGTAAACGCAAAGATGCCACTTTTTATCATTTTTCAAAAACTTGCCATCTGCGCGAAGTATGCAATTAACAATGCCCCGCATGTTATCAACAGAGGGCGGGTAGTCTTTTCTTCGGACAACCATTAAAAATCTATCGCGCAATGTTGAGAGGAATGCTGGGGACCCTTGGACACATTGTAATTGCATATTTAAAAGGATTTACGTATTTTTGAGAGGGAAGTCGCTTTTAGATTTTTCCACGACTGTTTAATTTATAGGCCTAATACTAGCGGGTCGTTGACTTTTACCTCGTAACTTAAAAGGTCATCAATATTATAAGGGCCACCTAACGTGGTACTGGCCTCAAGTTTCATTCAAACAAAAGTACTGTTCGACCATGTGATTACTGACAACGTAACCATTCCATTTTTTTTTTCTTGAAAACTTTGGTACAGTTCATGCTGATGTGGATTAAGTGTCTGAAGGACGAGATGCCTGAAGGGACAGGATACACCAAGATTGTGGCCACCAATGAGATCGTCTTGGCTAAGCCTGCTTCTGTTGATAAGGCGGGAGTAGGAGGAGCTAAGAAACTCTTCGAAACCAAGGTTGGTAGCTTTAATGGAGTGTGCACGAACACTAGACGGCGCTCCATAACCACTTGTCAGGCGGTGGCGCTATGCCGGGGGCCAGTTGTGCTGACCCGGAAAACAAAACAATCATCCAATAAGAACTAAGAGAAATGAAACATTCCCATCCGGATTAATGTTAGTTCTCGTTCCCGTAAAATATCGATGTTGGAGGGACTGGGAACCAGTCTAATCCGGATTCGGCCATTAAAAGCCCTGCCTACTCGCGTTTGTGCCCATTTTATTTTGTTGCAGTGCGCATGATCGAATTGGACCGAGTAACCGTGATCACCTGACCAAAAGTCGTGATCTTATTGGACAATTAATGAACACCGGTTTTTTTTAAATTTTTGACAGAAGGGACGGGTCCACTAGATGCAATGTGCGCCCTTCAAGTTGCATAGGATAATAAGGAGTAACGACCAAAGAAAAACCTCTGAATCATTAATTATTTGGATGGATGGGTTTTTGCGGGTATGGCGTAGACCCACAATGTGTTATTTTCTTGTCTTGGTTTGCAGGCTCGAGCGGGGGATGATAAACAAAACTTGGATGATGAGATAGTTTCGGAGCAGAGGAAAGAGTACGAGAGGAAGAGGCAGGCAAAGAGAGATAAGGAAGCAGCGGCGGCCAAGAAAGCAGCATTTGCTAACCGTGGCGCCATGTTTAATAATTAGATGAGTCTCCATGGCAACTAAGCAGCAATCTGGAACAATTTTTATCATCCAATAAAACAACTGGTCCGTCTTTCTCTTTTCAATGAGATACACTTTCACAACTACAATATTTTTTTTGTAATGCTTCATCTTTCGTACACGTGGACATTTATTTCAAAAATAATAATTGATCTGGCTCCATATTAAATGAGAAATAAGTTGACTATAATTCACAAATGATTATCTAACTTTCAGATTAGCATTTTCGATCAGACACAAGGCATCCTTAAATTCATTTACATCTAAAAGTTGTTACGATTGTTTATTTAATATTGGATTTGTTTGAATGGGTTGAAATTTAGTGATTTGAGTTTTTCAATCTCTCTCAAATGAAATTTGCTAAATGTACAGCTTGCAAATATTATGGTCATCATCCTTATAAGCATTTTAAGCTGACTAAAGACTGGCTAAAGGAGTAATATTACTAGAGATCACGAAGCCTTTAAGAAATCAAAGAGATTACCAAATTGAAACCAACATTCGATATCATTATAAAGGAGCTAAATTACTAGTCATGCATGCAAATATTTATATTTTGTAAAACCAAGTATTTTATCAGGCGGGTGGGTTTGTTCGTTTTTTTCTCTCCAAGATTTTTATTATTAGTGGACCGAAAATACATACGATAACAATTACATTTTGAGCATAATAAAACTAGGGGAAACATCTAAAGCTAAAGCACTGATGCTACATTTGAGACATAATTCCTGATTAAAATGAGATAAACAATGTCTAATCTATTTCATGCATAAAAGCATAACTGACTAAATTCTACGCGAAAATGTTTGGTAATCCTCGCAGCGCAATCAGTAACATGATTTATAATTGCCGGTGATTACCGATGCCGGCCGATGGCCGGCAAAGTTTGCCGATTTTTATTTGGGCAGTTTCTTCAAACCGCAAATCATATCCCGGTCCATGGAGGTCATCAAGGTCACCTGACAAAGAAGGAAAGTGACGACAAAATCCTTAATCAAAAAATAGACCATGTAAAAGAAATGAAATCGACTAGTAACTAGTTTTATATTTTACACCTACCCAATGACCATTTTATTTTCATCTCCCACCCGACGACTGTTTTATATTCCTCTCTCAGTTATGTTGCCCCGAACGAATTGAATAATTTATCAGAAACTTCAAATAATTTACCATCAACTCCTCCTCGGCTTCGAAGCGAGTTTTGATCTGGGTGCCGAGCTCTCCCTCCGGCAAACGAATGTCGCCCCTGGAGATTCCCTTGTTATCCAGCAGGTTCACACATTCATCCCAAACGCCAATCACCTGGGACAGAGAAAGAAATAAAATGGAACAGACCGAGTGTGATGTTACTTGTTCCAACATCATTATTTCAGTCACATCTAAAAGAACCGATTTTCCTATAACGGCTTTCAGCAATCCTTTCTGAAACATTGTCCGTATTTTGACAGACCTCAATCTAGATTCAGATTTGCCTTATCTGCTCCCCCTCCTTCGGTAGAAATTTCAAAATCTTCCTATACATACCTGATAATCCTCACGCTTGACGTGAGGCACAGACATAGTGTGAGTGGATGGACAGAAGTCTTCATATTTCTTGCCAGTGAAGATATCTATGCCCACGATGTGAACCTGCAGTACGAGAAAGGATGAGGTTATTTGACAAAACTTGGACATCATGTGCCTTTTTCTCTGCTTTTGATGAAAATAAATGTTATTGACCAAAATTACAGTAATGCAACTAATTTTAGACTAATAATAAAGCAGAATGAGTATGGGTACTCAGGAGAAATCAAAGCCAAGAACTTCTTCTTCACAGTGAATTGAGAGACGGTTTGCCCTATAAGGTGATGCAACATCAGTCTCCAATCCCAAAACTGGAGGGAGAAATTTCGCCAATCCTTGCCAATCTTAACCATTTATTTTGTCAAAGCTTGCATTTAGCCCGAGTTCCAAATTTTCTTTAACTCATTCTTAAAATTTCACAATCAACTCCTGCACCAACATTCTTGTAAAACCTGAGAAGAGGCACCAACATTTTTGTAAAACTGAGAAGAGTTTTAAGTCCTGAAATGTTTCTTCCAAATACAGTGCCTTCTTACCTTGGCATGTCCATGCTTTCCTGGTTGAGATGTGGACATCTCAACGATCTTACAAGGTTGTCCTTTCATCATCACATGACCACTTTTGCGCAGCGCAGAACACTGAATCGGGAAGGTCTTAGATGCTCCGGCGTCGCCACCCTCACAGTCATCATCGATGTCAATCACGTCGATTGGAGCGGCTGCAGCTTTCTGCGTCTTCTTACTCGCTTTAGTCTTCCTCGGCATTTTGACTTTTTTTTTCTCAGAAGTACAACGAATTGAATTCTTGGTTGTTTTTAAGTCAGTTTTTGATGTTTGGAGATCACTGGGCGTGTCAGCCAATTCCACTTGCTGTATGCTTAGAAACACGACCTTCGGAAGCTTTGCATGACTTGAACAATTTGCGAAGTGAGATTCTACTAGACCCTGGCATAGAGGCCGTCAAATTCAGTCTTGGAAAAGGAGTGGAAAATGTCTAAAACATGATATGCTTCAAAGGAACGTTGTGTAGAGAAGGCAGAAATGAGCGAATTGTGCTGTGTCTGTGCTGCGTCAGTGCTTATATCGCGCTACTATTATAATATTTCACTTGGTTGTGCAATATAAATGCGCTTCGTCCTGACTCAAAGTAAAAGGTCTCGTGACGTCACGAACGAACTTTGCGCACAGACAACACGCGTGACTGCATACATGTACATGCCGCTCGTATTATGCGAGTACACATGTACTGTACATTGTACATCTACATGTACTTCGGTGTAATAGAAACTGTACTTCGGTGTAATAGAAACTGCTATGCGTGGAAGTCATGTTAATTCATAAAATCCGAAATTCACAAGGATTATAACTCTGATTAGGCCAACAAAAAAAGTCTCCGGTTTCTGGTATGGAGCTTGCCCAAAAAGTGGTGCGGCGACGCGGCTTTTTTTTTTTTACCTGTTTTTTTTTGCTTCAAAATTAATGTCGGCTGACTGCAAATGGTGCCCGACTAAACTTTGTGCAAATATATGGGAGTCCAGAGAGGCCACATAAAACGTATTCTCGATCATAACCCTATCTAAAAACACATTAAAATTGTGCAGCAGCAGGATTTCAGTCAAACCAGTGAGTTTGGCGGTTTTAAGACATCATCTTTCATTGAAAAAAAAACTTTTTCATTTTGCCGAAGCGCATGGCTACGGCGACGCGCATACCAGAAACCGGAGACTTTTTTTTTGGCCTTAAGTTTTCTTCTTTCCAAGTTTGTAGAAGCACACACACTCTTATACAGTTTACAAGCCTCAATGCTTTGCATCCCCCCCCCCCCCCGACGAATTAATACTAGTTTTCCTTCGCAATATTGACAATGCGAATTATACAAAAATCACTACATCGACAAAATGAAGACATGGTACATATTTAATCAAACAAAAGTTGTGAACTTCGTTTTTATTATCTTTATGATTAAGGTTAGCAAATTAATGGGGAATGAATGTCAAATTCTCAGCTAAGGACTTGCTTTTCAGTGCCAGATATGTACAGAAATGTTTTAATGCAAAATGTAGCATTACATGTATATAGACCATTCATAAAAAACGAACAAACTACAATGATTTAATAGTGAGATTTAATTTGAAGACTCATATCAAATTTCTGAATATACATTAAGGATTGAATTGAGTCAACGGACAATGAAGCAGCATTGAAGCTTTTTTTGAGAGTGACCTGTTTTTAGGACGCCCCTTACGGTATAATCTACAAACAAGTCATGACGGCAACTGAAACGTAATCGAATGTTCAAAGACCCGTCATACAATGTACATGTACATGGTATTTGTACCTTACAACATGCCACACTGGTAACCATTAGGTCTAGCGCCTCATGGAACAGCATGAACAATCACACATAACGAAGCATTGCGTCACAGTCACACTCTACATGCATTTGGGGTCAAAGTAAAAAAAAAAAACGCACAGGTTAGGCCTACCATATTTTACGTTAAATTAAAAACAAAATCAAAATGTTAAGGAAAACTGAAGTAAGACCATGCAACACTTAAATGATTGCCTTAACGACGATATAAAGAAAACCAAACATTTCTTTGACACGTACATATCCGCTGCAACTATCTCACAATCGTGTCACTCCTTGTACATGTAAATGACTAGATAGTTGCACCTAAAACAGACAAAAATAAAACCAGTTTTTAACAACCAAATTGAAAACGATTTAAATTTGGTAACATGAATCGACCACTCATTCCACCCTGCTTATTTAACCTTAATGGACATTTTATATTCCGGTTCACACCGTTTTGGAAAATAAAAAGGAAAAAAGAAAAAACGGAAGGAAATATGACGGTAAAGGAAAAATATAAGTAATGCAATACACAAGGCCACAGGCGAAAGGAATCTGCACAAAGCGTGTTGTTTTCCAGCTTCTTTGATTTGTATTTGATAATTCTCATGATCGAATTATAGACCTGATTCAAATGCGCAAACTTTTGTATAAAATTGTGTACACAACGCTGAAATATCGCAGAAACGTTGAAGCGGTTGTTGGCGTCATATTTGGGAAATCGTCCATTTGTTCAATTGAAAACCTTCTGAAGTGATAAACCATTTTGTTTTGCGTGGCCTTTTTTTAACAGAGGCAGAGAATTAACATCAAAATTACTGAAGAAATATTTTGAAACAATTTAACTTGATCATATTACACTACGTTGTAAATAAATGATCAACATTAATTTTGACAGAAAATGAAAACAAAAACAAATGCTGTACATATTGGTATTGGTTAATAACGTACATACATGCATTATTCACAGAATATGAATTTATGTCTTTTAACACTCATTTTGTCATCCAAACATACTGCAACTTTTCTTAATTTAACTTCCACTATTTTATATCGAAGCACAGAAATATCCTCATCTTCATAGATTAATCCGGTCAAGCATCAAACTGACCAATACATGTTCTTTATATTAATTAAAGGGACAACACATTTACTATAAGAAAACATTCCTATAGCAATACGTGTACATGTACATAGGCACATTAAAGTGCCGTTCGGCGAATCAGTTTTGTCAACATAATGTGCAAAGATTTTTTTTTTTTTTCAAAACCCAAACTTGTATAAGAAATAATGGACTGGTACCGATACTCTACAGTAAGAAGTGAGCGCTGTGCCTTCGGGAACAAGACGGCAATAGCAATTGTGTGAGAAGGGTCCGACTTAGAATGTTTTCACGGGCAAGCCAGGAATTAATGCTTTTGTGCGCACGCGTACATCCGTAACTAAGGTTACCTTAATAGTTACCAGCCCGCATTCCACATCTGTGTTTTGGCTTGATTGCCTGCTACGAGGTTTTTAAGCTGGAAATTGCTTTGCATGGAATTTTGGTATATAATAAAACAATTATTGCCTGCTTTGGTGCGCAATAGCCATGAGTGGAACCTTGGCACAACCTCGTACCCTGAACTGCAACCATTTTCATATTCTACATGCACAAGAGTACCGAGCGATCCAACACAGACTGGTGCCTGGTGCAGTAAGCCACTCTTCCATTTAAGAACACCCGTGGAACAAGACCGAAGCACGTGTTGTGTAATGCACACAACTGTATGTTCAACCTCGAACTCGGATCGCACCATCTGCCTTAGAAAGTTTTGGGGCCATTTGTACTTGGGTTGATGGGATTATTGTTATTTTCAGCACTAACAGGGAATAAATATTACCCTTAAACTTGTTTATATTCACAAACTAAAGTCCACATGAACATGTTAAGATAAACCTCAACACCATTCACCTCGTCAACATTGTTTAAAGTTCAATGAAAAAAACATACAGCTTTTCATTACAAAACCTTCCGATGATCCGATTGTGTTTCATAATTCAATAATGAATTCAAGTATAAATGAAAAATACTTGAAATTACAAAATGCAAGATCTGCATTTGCAATAAAATCCAAGTTCTGCATTTGCAATAAAATCATTTTCATTAAATGCTTCACAACTGTGCAACAGCATGCTTTCTTGATTGTTTCCAACTCTTCAAAAGTTAAACCCAATACCCCAACCCTGAAACTCCCTAACACCATACAACTTTAATCCAATAGGGGAATCCCCAAACCATTCTCTAGTTTGCAAAGACCGATAATTCACTCAGTCTGGCTGAAGCTAGAAACAATACAATGAAGAGTGAAATATTAAATCAATTCAACCTCCAATTTGAGAGACTTCCACTCTAAATTTATTGTCTTGTTCCTAGTTTGTCTATGGAAATTAGGAAGCAAACCACTGTATCAACTCCCCCCCCCCCCCCAAAAAAAAACCCACACCCCTGACCCATGCCATCCAAAAATATTGTCCTCATCCCCTCCCCAAAGTTACCACCCATGACCCATGTCACCCACAAACATTGCCCCCCCCCCCCCCCCAAAAAAAAGAAACCCCCAAAAAACCAAAAAAATAAAACAAACATTAACAATTCCTAAGGTAAGGCTACAGCTACAAACTCTACACTAATGACATACAGAATATCAAGATTTACTTTGTAGAAAGAAGTTAGGGCTCCAGACATTACAGTATCGTGTATCATACATGTTTAGATTTATTGAGGGAACATGCAACAGCAAACGATAAGAGCTGAGAATTGTCATCACAGAGTATCTTCATGCAACAGTGCAAGGTGTTTACGCTGGATCTCACAGGGAGCATATCAGTGCCAACGATTGCTGACAAATCCCCAACAAAGAATGTGATTCCGAGATTTGACATCACACATTAAAACTTCCTTCGCTTGTTAAAGCAAAAAAACTGCTGAAAACAATCTCCTTCCTCTATATCAACATGTTAGAAGAACACACATGTAAGTGTATCATGAAAATGTCACGTCTTGGTTCGTGATTTCGTCACAACACCAAGAGGGCGCTGTTTCCCGTTTACATTGAAGACTCGCTAGACAAGCCATAAACAGTTCACTTGGTTATTTAGAAGGATCAGGCAACACTCATGCACATTTATACATGTATATCATTTTCTCACATTAAATAACCAAGAAAATTCCATGGTTATAAAATGGCGCTGTCTGGGTGGAATGAATTAGAAGCAATGCCCTCTATGGTTGGAAATATAAGAAAAGGCGCCCTCTATTGTCAGATGTTTGTATAACGGAAACAGCATTCTATGGGTATAGGATACATATACATGTAGATCAGTGAAGCGTTGAATTCTACACAGAGACATCCTTCGGCGTCTGGCTGTGCATCTGTGACTTGTCACCATGGCAACCAAGTCCACGGCAAAATACACAAAAAAGCACCTCCAGCTTGCCCCTCAATACAAACTTTAAACAATCTACACATGGGTTTTTGGTACATAAATTCAACTCTATTTTTTATCATATAGCATCAGCAACCAACAATTCCTGGGGAGTCTCTGCTGGTTGAAATTCTTACAACTAGATAGCTTCTCTACTTTTAGATTTTCTACCTTCTGAAGGAGTTTTTTTTTAAAATAGATCTTTCTTTAATCAACGCCTATGAGTTTCTTGGGAAAACCTATTGTATATCTTGTATGAAAAGCTATCAAGTTATTCACACTCAAAAAATAATATGTAATTTCCCAGCCCCAATTACAAACCCCCCCCCCCCTTTCCAAAAAAAAATCAATTTAGAGATGTTTTGATCTTATCCTCCCACTTTCAATGCCAAAATGCTTCAGACAAGCCAACAGAAAATGTTGGACTTTTCCCGACATTTCACCACTGACATGCAAGTAAATTGAACTGAATGTTATCACGGACCAAAAACTTAAAACATGGGTAGCAGAAAAAAAAAACATCTCAAAATTTCTGCCTTTCATGTAAGCCCTCAGGTGAAATGGACAAGAAAACAGTTCAAAAGTGATTAAATAAAACACTGAGCTCATCCGCCCCAGTGAAAAGCCTGCTCATGAACCCCCCCCCCTAAAAAAAAAACCAAAATAATAATAATAATAAAAAATACTTGAAGGTGCATCATGTAGGCACTGTTTGCCATCAGAGGCTATGTAAGTCTGTTAGAGCCAAATGCACAATCGATACTGACACTTAATACCTGGATTGAAGATCTTTCCCCCCAAAACAACCAACAATTAACTTAGTTGTAAGATCTTTATGGCATCTTCCGTGGGCACGGCTTCCCAGAAGTTTGAAAATTTGGTCAATAACGTAGCCAGTGCAATCACTGGCTTATATATAACTTAAAATATCCAAGACTTTGTGAGACACATAACTCACGGATTGTGCATTTACTTGGCCAAATATGTATGGGCATACATATATTTGGCCAATCCAGAACAGTTCTTTATCCCCTTTCATGCATAAATTAAAGGTGTGATTATGAAGAAGTCCAACAGGCCTGTATGGTGGAAGAATTGCAGACTAAATGTTCTGCCCAAAACCAATCCATTATGGCCAGCAGGTGCCAACAGGTTAACGGGGGGTGCACATCTCTACTTAATTGTCAGATTCTTGGTTGCAACAGCAAGTTCATGTGCACATGCTTTTAGCACAGTGACCTGCATAAAAAAGAGGGAAAAACATGAACAAAAACAGGAAATAAGAATAGGTTAACAAAAATATGATAAGAATCACTAACACACCAAGAGTGCTGTTCCATAACCACCACACCCTCAACTATCCTCACCGTTTGACTCGACATGTCTATTGTTCCACATTCAACATGTTCCTTTTATCTTTTATTTTCCGCTGAATTTTTACGAAGATACAAAGTTCAAACACCTCTTTGAACTCCAACATCCTAGCCATTACTTTGGGATAAAGAACTGAATACTAAAGAATACTATGAGTGTTGTGCACACTTATATGCTGAAGTATTTTATACTACAGTTTAGTACATGTAGTAGTAGTATTCTGTAGCTTTAGGTGAGGTCAGAGTTTTAACGAGTCACTGATTTTTGTGACTCGAGTCGAGTCATTTTAAAAAAGTGACTCGAGTCGAGTCATTAGGTCAAGACGGTCGAGTCGAGTCGAGTCACAGTGTGTAGTCGAGTCGAGTCGAGTCAAGTATTTAGCTCGAGTCAATTCGAGTCACAAATATTTGAGCACTATACAATAAATAAACACAAGAGAGAAAGTCATTTTTGGCTTTTTAAATTTTACATTCGGGCTACTACATGTGTAGCGACACCACATTTGCCTCTTAATGAAAATAAAAAGGGGGTGCCAGCTGATCGTCATTCAACTAATGGGGACACTGATCAAACCACGTATGTATAATGTATACATTATTCGTACTGAGGTACTCTAGTACATGGTACCGATGCACAGCCCTAGCTAGTTAGAGAACATTGCAGGTACATGTACATGTACATGCAGCGAGATTGGGTAGATTGAACAAAATTATCTAATCAAAATAGTATTGCATACTTACCATGAATTGCTCGCTATTATCAAATCTGGTTTGAATTTCTTTACCAATCTCATTGTCAGGTACCTTGATATCAGCGCGAATCTCCCCACCATCGTCCATAAGGGACAGAAAACCCTCCTCAATGTCGACAATCTGTTGTCAATAGAAAAAAAAGGTCAATGGCCATTACTCTGGGCAATTTTGATGGACTTGGACTGAGAACGATTATAAAACTATAATGTCTTACAAAACTTGTCTGAAAGCCACGTTTGCATTGGATTTAATGTGCTAAAAGTTACCTTGAGTGATTGTTAACATTGTAACGTTTACTCTACTGTGTGTGCGCACTTGGATTACTTTCAGGCCACGGAAAGTCATTCATTAACCCCAACTCCCTAGGCATTTTTGCTATGGGTCCTTGAATGTGGTCCTTGGAGGGATGACCACTGCCTCAATCCTGCAAAATCACTGTCAGAATGTTGAGGCAGAGCCAGTGACATCCTGGAGCAGTGCAGAGGATTTCAAGTATAATCTAAGCCTACATTTATGCACAGCTGAGCATAAACAACACAAGGTCTGGCTTATGACCTTGACATAGTGCCTCCTCCAAAATCAGCCACACATTTCTGCCATATGGCCTCTATCCTTAAAATCCTCCATTTGCAAAGAGGAGTTTGGAGGATTTGGGAAGGTTAGGGTTAAGTAAACATAGCAACGTAATTCTTCTGTGAGCCAGTTGGCCCTGTAAAACTTACTGCTGCGGACCGTAACATTTACAATCGACACTTGACAATTTGCGAACTTAAACTGCTGTCCGCACTGGACTTAATTTGGTTAAGTTGACAACAATCTTTGTAAGTTTTACCAAAAAAAGTCCAATGTGAACACAGCTTAAGGCCGTTTGATCTTAGGATTTTTGACATTTATACTGTTACACTATTAACGCCAAGCAGGCTTTTCATTTTGTCAAGTGTTCCATGTTATTTAGACAAAATACCATCTAGAGAATTAAGGTTTATTCCAGATAGTAAGACAACGGACATATACAGCCGACTCTCATTATAAAGATCACTTTTATAAAGAGTTTCTGCTTATAAAGAGCAAATTCTGAGGTCCCAAATCTCAGGTTCTATTTGTGTTTCTTTGTCCTTTTATAACAACATTCCTGTTATAAAGAGGTAATTTGCCTAGTCCCATCGACCTTGTTAGAGTCGACTGTATTTCAGCTTGAGAAGGCAGAGGAAACTACTGAAAACACAATCCACAAAACCTGCACTGGCAGGATCGCAACTGGCTCATTCTATACATTTCAGGTCTGCTTTTTCCGATCCCCTGTCCCTTACATCTGTGATTTCATAATTCTGATGCACTCCTTAACCCTAATCCCCTTGAGTGATTTACTTGGAACCTTCCTCACTCCTGCATATTCCAACACCATTTGGTAAAGTCTACAAAAAATCCAACACCATTTGGTAAACTCAACACCCAAACTGTTGGACTCTGATTATTGTGGCATGCCTAACCCCATGTAAAGCACAATCAGTTTTCAATCAGAACAAAAAAACTACTTTGCAAAGTTGATAATAAGCAGGACAAGTTCTTTTCAGAACTAATATCTTCTAAGCAGTAGTTATTATCACATGGTGTTACCTCAAACCGAAACGATACACAATCAGTTTACTAGTACAGTACTCACTCACTCCAACAGATTCCAACAAAACCTGAAGTTGGAGTTTAAATGGACGGGCATTGTTAGGGTTAACCCTAACCCACCTCACTCCTCCAAAATCCTCCTGGCGTTTTGGAGGATTCTAGAGGATTGAGGATGAATGGTGATTGAATCAAATGAGGATTCTAGAGGATTGAGGATGAATGGTGATTGAATCAAATGAGGATTCTGGAGGATTGAGGATGAATGGTGATTGAAGCACATGAGGATTGTGGAGGATTGAGGATGAATGGTGATTGAAGCACAAGAGGATTTTGGAGGATTGAGGATGAATGGTGATTGAAGCACATGAGGATTTTGGAGGATTGAGGATGAATGGTGATTGAAGCACAAGATGATTTTGGAGGATTGAGGATGAATGCATTTTGTGGCAGGACTGTCTGATGATTTTGAAGGATTTGGCGTTGGTTATCCTTCATTTAAACACGAGTGCAAAATTTTGGGATGAGGAGGATTTTGGAGGATTGACGATGAATGCATTTTGAGGCAGGACTGTCTGACAATTTTGAAAAATGTAGGCGGAGTTGCAAAATTTGGAGGATTTTGGAGGATTGAGGATGGTTCTAGGCAAAAAGGGCCTAGGGGGTTAGGGTTAATGCAATCGTCCTCCAAGAGTGATTATGAATACCAAACTACCCAGCAAATAGATAATCATTTGAAGTCATTGTTAAAGATACTTGAATGACAAAGTACAAAGTACCAAGTTAACAGGGACTTGAAAAAGTTCACACTTTGCACCCTAATTTCACAGAATGACAAACTGTGGTCTATGGAGCCGGACGATTGTGGGCTGGGATGTGAGGGGGTAGGAACCCAATACCATCTCAGCTCCAACTGAAATAAAAGAAGAAGACATCTTACCTGATAGTCGGTACGTTTCACATTTGGAACATTCATATTGTGTGTGGAGGGGCAGATATCTTCATACTTTTTCCCAGTAAAAATATCGATGCCAACAAGATGAACCTTCAAATAAAAACACAAAAAAAAACCCTTCATTTTCAGATAGTATTTTTATTTTTTGATTCAAGGCCCAGTGCAATAAATTGACCTGATTGGCACTCAGTTTACTATCAAACTGATCTATCCCTCCTACTGTTTGATCAGTCACGGACAGTCAACAATTCTTCCACTTCCCCTGCCATGCATTTGCATAAAGACTAGTCAAAAACAGCCAGTTCACGTTTGTGTAAACACTGTAAAACAGCTGGCTTATCAATCACCTACAGTCAAAGCGCAGCTATATCAAGTTACATAAATAGTCACAGCCAGTCAATCCTGCTTTATGTAGGCTGGGAGCTCCTAACTGTTGAAAACAATCACTTGATTGATTTTGACTGCAAGGACAACTTGGCACAGAATGTATGTTTGCATACGAGGGTTGATCAGGGAAAGAAATTCAAACTGCTTTCAAATGAGACTTTATGGAAGGCAGATGTGTTGCATGATTGCTTAGGTCTTCAACATGTATCGAAAAACGTACTTGCAAAATACTGGCAACGTTTCGTTGCCTTGTCACAGGGATACCAGTGATGATCGCAATACACCATAAATTGTACATACTCACCTCGCAATACACCATGTGTTATGTATACTGTATGACGACAATGAAAGTACAATACATATATTCCTGTATCGTTCTAGCACGGTGATCGTGATGGAGCACTGCATGCACAAAAGATGCGAGACTCGCACCCCAGTACACTTGGCTTTAAAGGTATAGTCCATCATTTGTAATTTGTGCATTTTGTTCGTTTGAAGCAACAAAAGTGCTCAAAATCTAATGAAGGGTACTGAGCAACTAACCTGATGAAAAACAGCATTCTAGGATCTCAATTTCAAATCAAAAGTTACTGAATCATGTTTTCAATTGTTTTGAATTGCAGCTATACGCGATGTCGCGCACTGATCCGACGAATTATAACAACCGCGCGCGCGTGTGCGTCGTTCCAATACTTGTGCGCGCTGCGCTGAATAACAAAACGAACTACTGATTTAAATTTTCAAATCTTAAAATTAATGTGGCCTGACGTTGCGAACTTAGCAAGTTCTTCTTCAGAGGCTAAAACTTTTTTTTTTTTTTTCTGTTTTAGCCTCTGAAGAAGAACTTGCTAAGTTCGCAACGTCAGGCCACATTAATTTTAAGATTTATATATTTCAGGTCCATCCAGTCAGTAAGCAGTTTGCAGCAGTTTTACTTTTTTTCATGATTTAAATTTTCCTACGGTGCTTCTTAAGAATCACCGTTGGAAATGCCTTCTTTCGTTGATTACTTCAAAATGACAGCTTCCCAGAAAGAATAATTTCACAGGGAGTTTAGTTCCCTTACTATCTTTCAACCAAGTTTGTTTTTCAACAATAATTACGCCAGTTACTTTTTCGGATGGCTGCAAATGATGGACTCTAGCTTTAAAACTATCACTCACCGTGCAGAATGACTGCGGTGAGTCTATGCAGTAAGACCTCAATTGTTAGGTACATACCTTAGCATGCCCATGCTTCCCAGTTTTAGATGTGGTCATCTCCATAATTTTACAGGGATGGCCTTTGATCATCACATGGCCACTTTTGCGGAGACTAGAACACTGAGCTGGAAAGGTGTCGGAGGCTCCCGAATGTACTGTATCAAATTCGGAGTTCAGTTCAGCAGCCATTGTGAGTGATTTCACTGTAAAAAAAACAAACAAATAAGTTAGAAATACATTGGAAAAACATCCCCAAAGTATGTTATAAACGCTGTATACTCAGTGTTGTCCCAGGTAATTGTAAGAAAAAAAATCACAAAGCTCTTAGGTGGGACTCGAACCCATGTCCTTTAGCTTCGTGGAGTCGTAAAGTTTGTACACGTACTTGTATGTCGCATGCTTTAAAAAGTTTTGCACCAACGAAAGCCTACATATTTTGTGGAAAACAATTCCTAATAGACAATGGGCCCTGTAATGTCATTAGGCCCAAAATAAAACAAACTACATGAATGTCAACACGTTTGGATCATTTAAAGTTCAAGCGATTAACATACAGTGGGGAAGACAACCCAATTTTGTTATATCAAACAGTCCATATTTTGATGACTCATGCAAAAATGGCGATGGACATTTGGGAATAGCACTCTCACAGTTAACCCTAACTCCCTAGGCCTTTTTTGCCAGGATGTAGCCTCAATCCTGCAAAATCCTCCAATTGGCCTCATGGAAAAATGGCATATATAGCCTCGATCCTGCAAATTCCTCCATTATTTCTTGAATATGGTCCGTGGAGTGACCACTGCCTGAATCCTGCAAAATCCTGTAGCAGTGACTGTCAATATGTTGAGGCTTAGCCAGTGACATCCTGGAGCAGTACGCAGGATTTCAAGCATAATCCAGGCCTACATGTATATATGCATGGCTGAGCAAAAACAACACAAGATCCGTGCCAAGACCATGACAAAGTGCATCCTACAAAATCAGTTAACGCACTTTTGCCATGTAACCTCAATCCTCCAAATTCCTCCACTTTGGCAAAGAGGATTTTGAAGGATTCAGGGCGGTTAGGGTAGCCATCATTTCCATATCGGAATGCGAGATTGCAAGGTGAGGGCATAAAAATGCAAGCAATTTACCGAGATTAGTAAGGAGTCCAGACAATACTACAACCGAGACGTGGTTCATGCAGATTGTATGTGCATATTTCTGTGTGTGCACTCATTACATGTACATGTACTTGTAGTTCTGAATGTAATCTGATGTAGGCCTTATCTCGCATGGTTTGGAACATGGTTGGCCATTAACTGGCCACTGACATAATAAACATGGCCACATTTTACCCCCCAGCCCTAACCCCTTAGTACTTCCTCAGGACTACCCAGCTAAATCCAACAGAGTCCAACTGGACTTTCCTGCTCAATCCACTGTGCCCCATTTTCAGTTGTCTGCTGAATCCAATGGAGTCCAACATGACGTTCTAATGCTGTTCAGTTGCCTGCTGAATCCAACATTTTGCTTCAGGAATATACACAAGGGGTTAACTGCTCAATCCAACAGGCTCCATCGGGTATGTGACATAGTTGGATCCTGTTGGATTCAGCAGGGTTAAGGTTCTAATAAGGGCAACTGAAATTGATGACTTCATGCTTAATTTGAATCTAATAACAATTTGGGTTTAGACTTGCATGGATTTCAACACAGATGAAACTCAGACTTGGTCTCAGACCTAACGCCCCCCCCCCCCCCCCCCCGACTACTCACTAAGTGCTATCCGGTGCATTATTAATTTAAACGTCATATACGCGCATGCACCATTGATTACTAGCGCCTATTGGATAAACACTCAAGTTACGTTAACTTCTGGTTCCATTCGTGCTATGCTACACCGTGTGAAGTATTGGTAGGCATAGTTCAGTTGAGATAACGTCACTTTAACGAACCGGATACAGGGTGCCCCCCCCCCCCCAAAAAAAAGGAACAGCAAACTTCCACTAGCTTGAGACTCAAACCACTTGTACCAATGGATGGAGACTCTTTTTAGAAGAAACATGATACCAAGATCTCTTGATTCGGTACATTAGTTTTTGCTGCAGAGCCTATTTTGTAAAGCACACATCTTTCATGCGGGTGTTATTACATAATTCATTCCTCCATCCAATTAAGTAAAATTCATGGGCGCGAGCGGGTCCAAATCTCCAGCTGACAAGTATTGGTTTTTCAGTATTGAACCTGTGATTATATATTTTCTTTTTATTTATATAGCGTAGGGACAGCTGCTGTTGGTGTGGGCGGGATTATGCCAAGTTGCCAACCCATGAAAACGTCTACATGTACCTGTAATTCATTTGCAAACAGTTTACATTAGTTGCGATGAGTTATCATTCAACAATCTAGACTTGAGAACCATTGAGTTTTAATAGGTCTGGTAACTACACAAGGCAATGTACATGTACAGTACTAAGGTCTCAGATGTTTGCACCCACCTATAGTTGGGATGTAACACTACATGTATACAGGAAGTTCACTTACTACTAACAGACCATGCAGACTTAGTCCAATTATTAGCTAGCCCCATAATTGTGGCTCAAATACTGGACTTCCTCTGTATTGTGAGTCACACACCAATGCATGCAAACTTTCCTGAATTACATGTACATGTACATGCAAGTTGTTTCCACAGTTTGAAATTTCGACTGTTTTTCTCTTATTTCATATTCACCACGGAAGGTACATTGCACATGTACATGTACTTTACCTGGTGATCCTGTTCAACAACCAGTGAAAATCGAAAGGTCAAAGGTGTATGACCTTGAAAAGAATACTATAGCCTAGGCATTGTTGGACAAACTCTGCAAATTTGGGATAAGACTGTTCCTTCCTCTGTTTAGACATGACATAGTACTGGCACAGAATTCAAGTAGCTTCAATATTAAGTGAAAAAATAGTCAAGCCCAGATTTCAAACTCCAAACACAAGTTTTACAGAAATTGACCATGCACTATTAAAATGGGTTCATTTTTCGGAGGAAGTCCAGCATTTGAGATGTTTTGAGACATGTTTATGGAGCTAATCATTTAATCATTAGCCTACACTAAAAACTAAGGATAAGAAAATAATTCTAAATCCGTTTACAAATTTTCCAAATGTTTAAACAAAACCCAAATTATGAAAAAGGGTCCATATGTTCATGTGATCTTCCTTTGAGTTTAACAAACATAGCACAAAAATTAACATCTTCAGATCTTGTTAATTTACAAAACCTTAGAGGCACCGCAGCGGCCTACTTGAGTTTTTACTTTTCAATGACTGTCTACAATATATTTTGTCAATCATTGATGATTTATCATGTCCTTCACGCCGATCTACATCAGCATTTGTGAAATACATGTAAATGTAAACGTTTCTTAAAATATTTATTGTTTACAAAATAAAATACAAAGTCTACATGATTAAACCTTCAAAGAAAAAAAACCTACATCATTTACAAATACAATGCATTTACAAATACCATGGCAATATCCCCAAAAATTCTGGAAACTTTTGATGCTGGAGCACACTGAAGTTTCTGCCTAATTACGTGTTTTGCTCAACCACCAACAAGTCAAAAAAAGTAACAAACTTGTTGATTTGGTCATGTTGGTAATTAATAGTTGAACATGGTGGAAAGATTCCCATATGAGACTGCTCTTAATTTTTTAAGTGTTTTCTCAGTAAATACTAAAATATTTTCCCTGCTAAATTTGACTTTTTAGGACACATTATCACGAGGTCTGTTGGCCGCGCGCCACACATGCACAGTGCATCACACACTTCGGAGTTTTGGCCAGCTTCCCGTCTTGACTAGCGTTGTGCACATGGTGCGAACGACCTGAATTTTCCATTATTTTTTTTTTAATTTAAGAATTATCGAACGTAAATATATTGAAAATAGTTAAGGTAGGTTTTATTCACTTTTTGTGGCCATTTTGTGTATAGCTGCTTTCGTAGTGCAATGGAAATAGTTCAGGATAAAACTTCGCATATAATTGAATACCATAATTGAATACCCCATTCAATCTGCATAAAAAAATTGGCAAAAAAAAAAAAAGACCTTGTTTTGAAAGGCATGTAATCGGAAGCAGAACTATTTTTTCGGCTTAATCCTTGATCACGTTGAATTTTGCGCTAGTTTAGTTGAAAATGGCAATAATAATTGTGGGACCATGGACTTGGAGGACATGGTCATGGAGGAATAAAAACACATGGTGGGACATAGGCCTAAGCCTATTCACACAATAATCACATTCAGCATGTTCAGTATTCACATAATATTAATTATATTGTTAAAAATATTGAAAGGTTTGCAATTCATAAAAACTTTATTTTTGGGCCCAACATACATTACGCAATCTGCCGAAAGCGGCATGACTCAACACTGCAACGACCATGAGGATTAAGAAGGCGCGCTGACCGGCCATCATGGCGCGGTACGGTGCAAATATTGCATTGTCGTCCGGGGCCCGGCCGTACGTGGGCCTTGTACGTGCCCACAGTACAACTCACAAGCCACCAACATGACCATGATGACAACACAAAATCACAGGCCCAAATTTTATTTCAAAAAATAACATCAGTAAAAAAAGTGTTTGCTGACCTGCTTTAGAACAGTTTGATGATAATCAATCGAAAATTACACGTATTTGAAATTTAACATAATAACGTTCCGATTTCAACCCAAAATCGTAAGATTTCAACTGGTAAATTACGACGTAGTTACTCACATGTGGCTCCTTCGTGCGGGATCGGGAAAGACCGCATGAAGGCACCACGCATGCGCATCACCCGTGTCGACGGAGTATTTTTTCCGGGAGGGGTTGCCACAATTGAGGTAATTGTGCCACCCCCAAATAAGACTGTTCCAAATAGTAGGGGTGTTTGGTGATTGTAGAAATGTTGTTGAGAGATCAGTGGTTTACTCCATGGGTTTACACACCTTTACCTATTTCCTTGTCTTGAAATTTACCTATTAATTAGCATATGATCTAGGCAAATATTAAAAGTTTCATATTTGCTCAATCCTATCGGATAAACAGTCACAAGTCGTTTCATCTGCTTTTGAAATGTTCTGTTCAACTATCTATTTGGAATTTTAGTCAATACGTCAGTGTTTCCCCTAACTAATGAACTGAGCGAGGTGATAAAAATTCAAATTGATGATTGAAACAAAATTTATGCAGGCTGCAAACTAAAAAGAATGCAGTGCTCTCAAAAAATGCGCGATGATTCCAAAACACATCCAAATTGTGAGTTCTTGATACATAAAGGTCAAGGAAAACGCTCATAAATTACACAAAATGTAAATTTTTCGATTAGTAAATTTCCTTATTGCAAATCTTCACAGCGAGGTGGTGATATTGGCAAGAATTGAGTGAGGTGGTCACTGAAAGTAGCAAGGTGGGCCGCCTCACGTTCGGATGGGCAGGGGAAACACTGCAATACGTATTCCCTTAGATTATAGAAAGACAAATTTAATATTCTGACCGTAGGCAGGTTAAATTCAGGCTCAGTTATCGATCGATAACATTGCGTATATTAATCAAGGGGAGTCAGGTCAATCTTCAGGGGGTTGGTGTGGTGATACTTTCCTCGCCTTCCACCGCTGTGACCTAGCTGGGTTCAAGTTATATTCCGCCTGGGCCAACACGAGGATTGAGTTTTTACTCCCGTACCTGATTCCTTGGGTTTTCACCAGAGTAGTATTCTGGGGTTTTTCTCCCACCTCAAAAACTGTAATTTCTTCTCACTGTCTTCTCTTTACATGTTTCTTCAGGCTTGCGAGTGACACGGCCTACGGGGCTTTTGAGGAATCTTTTGTTTCATTATCTGCAGAGAATTAAATAATGTAAATTATAATAATTTGCATATATGCAAATATTTCCCAGACTCAATGCCATTTTAATGAGACTGGAAATAATTACATTCTTTAAAATTAGGGGGAAATGGGCACATTAGAATATAACTGGATGATTTTCGAATTTTGATGGCCTTTTCGATTTTTTTTTCAAGTTTAAAGCACAAGGCCGAGTTTACACGCCAACAACAAGGACACCCCTCTAACAAATTTCAATTAGCTCATTCCAAAAGAATACGTCACGTACTCCCACAATTCATTGCGTGAGAAATTTGGACACCATCTTGGCAGCACAAAGAAAGATCGTTGTGCGAAGGGGAGTAACATCACCGCCCGGTAAAAAGATCTGCCTTAAAAACATGCCCGAGGAGTCGGAACAACAACCTGAGGCCGAATTGCCCTCGGAGAAGAAATTACTGGGTAAAATGATGTTAAAATTACGAGTAGACATGCCATACTTGCCGAGATATTCGTTAAGAATGCTAACCATTCGTGCACTTTTTTTCTTCAAATAAGTGCAGTAGCAATACCAATGCGTGTACGGTACACGTGAAATCACAACAGTTCATCATGCGTCATGTGGAATGTATTCAACTGGTGCCCGGCAAGTAATATGTTCATTACGGGAACCAGCGGATGTTTGGAATGATGAACCAGGCATCAAGTTATATGAATATGGCCATGGGTACAGTCGCAGAGCATCTGATTCTGAGGCTCAAGCAACATGAGCAAAAGAAGACTGGATTCCTTTTTCTTTTTTGATATTCGCAATGCATCTTGGGATTGGATGACAAACAACCAGACAATTTGTGCACAAACCTATGGGGCCGAGTATTTTAAAACTTTAGTTTCATTTGTTGATTCTGGATCCTCGTTTTATCATGTTTATGTCAAGAATTTAAATAATGATGATTTTTTACACATTTTTGCACTGGTAATTGACATATAGGCAGGCATGCAACTTTTCCTCGGATCAGCTGATTTCCTCTTTTTTTACTTCCCATGTGTGCCATTGAAAACAGAAAAAAACACTGTACAAAGTCTGGGAAAAATTTGAATTTCCTCTTTTTTTGTGATTTCCCAGTTGCATGTCTGATATAGGCCTAACAGTAACCATGGTAACATGCCTAATTGTTAAAAAATATCATTTTTAAAGCGTATACTATAGAATGAAGAAAAAAAAAAGCATAAACTGCATAGGCCCCTACTTGTTTGTCATTCCCATGATGCAGTGCGAATTTCAAAAAGGTTTAATTTTCATCACTTACACTGTTAATGTTTCAAACATGTCAAAGACGGCTAGCCCAGATAACGTTAGGTTAAAAATGAAGAAGTGGTTTTGCAGTTTAAAACATTACATAGGCCTAGTAAACCGACCTATCTTGATTTTTGCTGTCAACTTGCCCACCTCAAACTTTTACATTTTTTTTGCGAAGATTTTTTTAAAAGCCAAAATAAACTTTAACAAATATTTGGAAATAATGTTGCATCCTCACGCCAGTTTTTTCATCATTATGTCATCTCAATAGATGCATGCGTTTGGAGTTCCATTGACATTGGTGACTGAGATGCTAGCCCCACTAGTATGGCCGCGATATTGCTGCGCTGTATCTCTGGCCACACGCCAGGTTCTCCAGTACTACTGAGGAGTTTATTCCAAACACTGGCATGACTGGCACACCCTTTTTTGGCTTTTTTTTTTTATATACCAGTGTATATGGTTGTATTCTATGATTTCTCATCTTTTGCCCTCCGGGTAGATCAGGTAATCTTTCTTCAAATTTTTTGAGAAATTTAGCATCTTTCTGGAGTCCATATGCGCCAGTGTTTGGACTAACTCCTCAGTAAGTTGGGAAACCAGACAAGTGGCCTAATGTACATGTACAGCACAGCACAGCAATACTGAGGCCACACAAGTGGGGCTACTGAGATGCATGAACACATCTTTTCGATGAAAGCCATTCTGAATCCATTGGATAGAATATTGTGTACTCTGGGACCAGCTTAACTAGGCTTACTTTGTCTTGTCTTGTTGTTTGTTCTATCCAGCCTCTGGAGTCACTGGGACTGTGAAGTGGTTTAATGTCCGCAGTGGCTATGGATTCATCAACAGGTTGGTCTCCTTCAAAAAAAATGACACGCTTTGTTTTGAAGTCTTAAAAAAATGGGATTTTTAGGGGATACAAATTATAAGATTTGAGCGTTTGTTACAACAGCCTCTGAGCCAGAGGTAATATGAACTCGGAAACATTGCACAGACACATGAATGTTGAGATGAGAGTCATGGAAAGATCTTACTTCTTTATTGAAGCCCCCCCCCCCTCCCTTCCATCCCCCTCCCATCTCCACCCACACCCCAGCCCTCCACTGCACCAGGAATTGAATATTCTTGGAAAAATAAGTTCTACTTGATCACAACTATCTAAACACATGGCACAGTCTCTTGATTGCCCACCTTTCGTTTGATCGGTCACAGACAGTCAAAAATTCAATCCTGTTCCCCTGCCATGCCTTTTACACAGGCTAGTCACCAACAGTCAGATCATATTTCTTGTAGGCATTGTGACAGTTAAATTCCATCAGCAGACAAAAGCAGGCGATAGGTAGGCACAACTGGCATAACAATCACAGCCAGTCAATCCTGCTTTAAGAAGGCAGGAAGCACTCAACTGTTAAAAACAGTCAGTTGATTTATTTTGACTGCTGGGCTGGCCTTGTCAGCCGGGGGGGGGGGGGGGGGGGGGGGGTTAATAAGTATGTACAATTCAGTGAAAAAGCAGTCCAAAATTGGACGGTATGAAGAACAACTACCACCCACTTTTCTGGCCTATTTTACTCAGCATTTTCATGAAGTACAGAGGTTGTGTCATGGGTTTCTATCAATCTGATCAAGAAAAGCTAGCTGTTTTTCAATTATCATGGTTGGTAGTAATGGTGCGGATATAATAGTAAACTCTTCCTGGAGTCTTGAGGTAGATACATGTGGGTCATTCTATAAATTTAGAATCCAAAGTATGATATTTTTTTCCTGTCCCTGTTACCTGGATACTTTGTAATTTGCCATTCAGGTATCCTAATTATGACTTCAAATGATTTTTGATTTGTTGGAGAACGACTGCAATCGTGGTAACAACCGCAATTAGGAGTTCATTTGAATAATAAAATCATTGATGTCAGATGTCACATACATGTAGACAGGGAAAAAAGTGGACCCCAAATTTATTGAAAAGGCCCATGCGCACGGCAGATTTTAGTAATGAATATTTTTTTTTTCTTCAGAGATGACACCCAAGAGGACATATTTGTTCACCAGGTAAGAAAAAAATCACAGAATTAATTGTACCAGTGACATCTGTGCAGTTGCAGTCCATATGCATCTTTGCTAACACTTAACCCCCTTAGGGTATTTTTGCTACAAACCCTGCTGAAGTCAGCATTCAGCAACATCCATCACTTGTCAAAATGACAAGCCTGCCAGTGAAGCAAGATCCATCAGGTCAAAAGTCTCGAGGCCAATGTGCCTCAGAGTCTGTGGTCATCAACTGCAGCAGGATACAACTGTGGCATTGTATAATGGGACTATAGCTCTCATTGTTTCAGAATTTGCAATTTATGCACTGGTGTTGATGGCTCAATGCAGCAATGTCCCACCTGATGCACTGTGTTGCGTCTGACACCGTTACGGTTAAAGAACAGACAACAATTCTAAAATTGTCCACGCATGAATCTCAGATAAAGGAAGTAAAATCTGCAAGTTGGTCCTTGAAGTATATCAGGATATTAACAGGTGCAACTACTTTTGTTCTACAGACGGCCATTGTGAAGAACAATCCTAAGAAATACCTCCGTAGTCTTGGCGATGGAGAGGTGGTAGAATTTGACGTTCTGGCTGGAAAGAAAGTAAGTCATTACATGGACACTATGTACACAATTCAGTGATTAACCCTACCTTCCCAAATCCTCCAAAATCCTTTTTGCATATGGACGGATTTCGAAGGATTGGGGGTGCGTGGCAAAAATGTGTCAGTTGATTTTGGAGGATGCACTGTGTCAAGTTTCAGGGTGCACCTTGTGTTGTTCATGCTTTGCCGTGCACAAATTTAGGTCTAGATTATATTTGAAATCATCCTCATTGCTTCTGGATATCATCGGCACTGACTTGAGTATTAACAGTGATTGTTGGTGGATTTTGCAGGATTGAGGTAGTGGTCATCTCTCCAATGAACAGATTCAAGACAGATCTGATGATTTGGAGGATTGAGGCTATACAGTCGACTCTCTTTAACCCTAACCCCTTGAGCACTTTTACTAGAAAGTATCCTAAATTCGCCAAAATCCACCAATTTTGTCATGCAAAAAATGTTGGTGTCCTGAGTCCCCCAGAATCCACCAGTGAGTACATCAGAATCCACAATACATCATACACACCAAACATATAGCCAAGGAGTTAAACTGTTTAGATCCTGAATCCATCAAAGTCCCCCAACTGCTCAATATGGAGGTATCATGAATCCATGAAAATCCTGCAGTACTGCTTGGCTTACTGTCCTAAATCCATCAGAATCCCCCAACTTGTCCAATATGGAGGTATCCTGAACTTGCCGAAATCCTCCAAAACAGGGGTGTGGATTTTGATGGATTCAGGTACTTTAGGGTTAATACAAACTCAGCCGGACCTAGCCAAAATGTTTGTTATATCAGAATGTTGGATTAAGAGGAGTGCCAGTCCCATTCATTTTGCACATAAAGCACAGTTGGAACCAAGGCTTTATGTTTGCTATAACCAGAATTTGTATTAACAGTGTTTGTAAAAAGGCCTAGGGGTTAGGATTAATTGTATGTACTTTGCCCCATACGCGCATGAAGTAATGCACACACACAGTGTCTTCCCAACAGAGCTACATGTGTTACCTAGTAGTCACGAAACACTGTCCCCACACAGAGTCCATACAGTGCCCTCAACAATAGATGCATCAAGCCAATAGACTCATAACCGTGTCTTGTCTTGATATAGGGAGATGAAGCCAGCAATGTGACCGGCCCTGATGGTGAGGCAGTGCAGGGAAGCAAGTATGCCCCGGACAGACGTCGGTTCCGCAATCGCCGTAACTACTACCGTCGCCGCAAGAACACAGACGATCCCGACGAAGATCAAGAGGAGGAGGGAGGAACTTCAGAAGGAGGAGATAACCCAGACGGGAGGCGTCCACGTGGAGGAGGTCGAGGTGGGAGAGGGCGAGGTGGGAGAGGGCGTGGCAGATATCGTAACCGTGGGGGTTACCGTCGTCCGCCTCCTGAATCAGACGAGGGTGGTGAAAAGGTGAATCCAAGATGACAGATTTTCTGTTCGTTGTTATAAAGGCCGTATTGGAATCTCTTGTCTAGAGCTTAGTCAAGGTCTTCACCCGTTACAACTTTTTGTGAACAAGCTGACAATAGATGTAGCTCCTAAGGCTGGTATAGAATATGTCCTAATAAAATACCAGCCTATGATTAGGCCCCCCCCCCCAAAAAAATAGTCGGTCTCTGGTCAGACCGAAGTTCCGGAACTGATGCGGCGACGCGTTTTTTTTTGTGGCTTTTTTTTTTCAAGCTTGTATTGTACAGACAATGTGGGTCTGTTTTGTGTCCTCATTATACATTGGTGTCCTCCATAATTTGCCTTGGTGCCCTTTTATCATTTGCCTTGGTGCAATTTCCCCATTCCTTGGTGCTCCTTGGTACAAACATTTGAGGAGGTGCGGCAATAGAGGGCGCTGTTGTAGCTTCCGTGTTAATTTGAAGAAAAAAACAAAGGTTGATGCGCATGATTAAAATCGACACGCGCGCTGACCAGAGACCTAGTATTTTTTTTTTTTTTTGGCCCGAGGGTTTTCTTCCATTGTTATTGGCAACGAGCTTTGTGTTAGTATGTTGTAACATAGAAATATTGAATATTTTAGTCTCTGTACACCATGCAGTACAGTAGAATGTCGTACTATACAGTGGAACCTCGCTATAATGAACACAGCTTTACCCAGCATTTGGCTATAACGATTACATGTATCATCCTTTGGCTTCTGATGTTTTATGTACAATTATAAATTTAATGGCAACACTTTGATGAGGACGCACTGGAATTGTTTTTGATTGAATGGAAGGGAAAGTACATACAGTTACACATGCACATGTGTACAGACACCATCTTGTCAACTTGGAGTGTCACGCAGATGATCAAAAATCACTATACGACCCCATTGAGGACCCCATCATGTTTGTTATAGCAATGCTCTGCTGTACTTGTTACCTTTTTGTGGTGATTACATTTGAGTAGTCAGAGTGTTTTATATGCAATCTGGCTGTTGGCGACTAGCCTGTGTATACGGTTTTTGCAGTGGACGTGCATTGAATTTCTGACTGTGACTGTTAAAACAAGAATTAATTAAAGACTATCATTGCTTAGTATGCAGATTCTGTTGGCAATTTTAATGATTTGTTTTTGGTTTTATTATTAATTTTTTTTTTTGAACAAAAGCGAGAGGATGATGAAAAGGGTGAGGAAGGTCAGAATCCCAACCGTCGTCGCTACCGACCCCGTTACCGTAACTACAGACGCCCACGTCGTCAGGAAGGCGAGGAAGAAGGGGGTGGGGATGAGAACAAAGAGAACGAGGGAGGAGAACAGCGCCCTCAACGTAGACGTTATCGTCGACGCAGACCTCAAGGTCCACGCAGCCAGAAGACAGACTCTGGAGAGGTAATGTCAGCCGTGATCTTGAGGTGTTAAATGGAATGAATGTGTGCACAGAGAAACTTTGTCTTGAATTGGCTGTCCTTTTAAATTACACAATGTACTACAATCAGTTTCTGAACAAGGTTTTGTAAGTTGTGTACATGAAGCTCATAATTTCCATATTTGTTTTTTTATGTCCTAGTTGCCACATATAATGTTTTACCCTAACCATGCTAAATGCAACAGGAAGCAACAAAATGGTAAAAAGTTGTTGCTTTAAGCAATCAAATCCCATGTTGCGTTGCATCTTGTTGCATTTAGCAGGGTGACTGGCCATAGTGCTTAACTGCCCACAGAATCCGTTCTTGCAGTTTTGTTGCATGTAGCAGGGTAGCTCCATAGTGCTTACTAGGTGTATACTGGGTTTACTGCACAATGCAACGGTATCCACTGTTGCGGTGGGTTGCATTTAGCAGAGCGTTTACTTCAGCTGTGTTGGATATTGTTGCATTTAGTATACTTGAAGATAAACCAATTTTGTATGCCCCGCGGCGAAGCCGAAGGGGCATACTGTTTCCGCCTTGTCCTTATCTGGGTGGGTGTGTGTGGGTGTTCCTGTATTGTATTACGCTCGAGGACAGACAACAAAAGGAGCACAAAGGGGCCATTCATCCTCGAACGACGGTGCCTATTGTCCTCGAACGCCGGTTTGTGCACTAAGTCTATGGGAAAGGTTTAGATCAGGGAACAAAGGAAAACACAAAGCCAATCCTCGGAAGCATAGCAAAAAACGACTGGGTGGGTGGGTGGGTGTGGGTGTGTGTGTTCGGATAAATCTTGTCAGCGCTATAACTTGAGAAATACTTAACATATGAACTTCAAATTTGGTTTGTTTATTGGTCTTGGTAATCCTAAGAAACTTATTGCATTTGGGGCCGAAAGGTCAAGGGTCAAGGTCACAGTGGCTAAATCAATAGAAATCTTGTCAGCGCGATAACTTAAGAAATACTTAACATATGAACGTCAAATTTGGTTTGGGTATTGTCCTTGGCAATCCTAAGAAGCCTTTTGCATTTGGGGCCGAAAGGTCAAGGGTCAAGGTCACGGTGGCTAAAACAAAAGAAATTTTGTCAGCGTGATAACTGGAGAAATACTTTACATATGAATCTCAAATTTGGTTTGTGTATTGTAACGTTCTTGGTAATCCTAAGAAACCTTTTGCATTGGGGGTCGCAAGTTTAAGGGTCAAGGTCACAGTAGCTAAAACAATAGAAATCTTGTATTTTTGCTGAGATCATCATCATAGGGATTAATTCATATAAACCTACAGAAAACACTAATGCTGTCAATGAACGTTCCATGTGACCAAGGTACATGCAAGTTGATGTTAAAAGAGTGGTGTTATATGTCATGGGAACAGTCACGGTTGCGGGGCATTTGTGTTTGTAAACACACCTGACTTGTTTTTTAAGTGTTCTTGTGTTTTCTCATCTCTGCAGGAAGGTCCTCCTGCAGCCCGTGAGGACAGAGCACCGGCAGATACATCAGAGAACAAGGAGTGAATAACATCGAGTTTAGGCCAGGCAGACACCCACACACATACCCTCATATAGACCCAGGGGAATGCTACCGCAGGCTTCTGATTAAACATCAATTTTGGAATTATCTTGAGAAGCTGTCTAGGCATGAAGGATGAATTTTTGCGCTTCCCTTTTTTGGTAGCTCTGATCTGTTGACTAACAATCATCTACAATTAGTTCAGGTATTCAGTGTCATGTCAACAGACGTTAAGAGTTAAAGTAAATCCAAGCACCATCGTTGGAAAGTAAAAGAAAAATCAATTTTAGATGAACCACATTCATGGACTTGAGATTGGATGTAATAGCTGGAATCAGTCCAGGTATTCACTTCTTTGGATTTGACTAGCTACGAAACCAAATATTTAGCGGGATGAATCAGAAAGATTTTTATCATTTAGGACACATGGGAATAAATGCAAACAGTACTTTTTTACGTTGATCCATATTTTTACCATTTTGCAGGGGTATTGAGGACCATTTTCAGTTAATATTTCAAGGCAAAAAAGAATAATTAAGCCACAGAATTGGACTGCTGAGGCTCACCAAATCGAGCAGAAAATGTAGCAATATACCAAGAACTCGTAAATATCCTGTTGCGGTTGCAACCTTAGTATCATCAGTTATTCACGGGATTGAGCTCGTAAGACCTGGCGTATTGTAGAGCGAATCTTAATGGTATTACAGTATTGTAGTTGAGGTCTTTTGTCTTTTTCCATCAGACTTGCTTTATTGGCTGTGGTTTAATGTTATCACCAACCCAGGTATCTGCCAATGGAATTTTTCATTTTTTTGCAGGAATTTTTGTACCATTTGATGAATTTTTCCGCCCAAGTGTTTGAAACTTTCATTTAAATCTGAAATTTGGTTTTTTGAAGGAAAAAAAGAGAAAAAAGCTTATTTGCTGCATTTTTTGCTTACGGTTTTCAATAAATTTATTTTGAGAAAATGTTTTGAATGGATTGAATGCAAATGACAACTTGTGAAGTTTGGATTATTTAAATTTGTAATTGGCAGGTGCCAGGCGTAAAGGCCATTCTTAATTCCCAGTCGCTTTTACAGGATAATTTTGGTCCTACTTTTTGGCAATTTTTTGGTAATTCCTGCGTATTATTATTTCTTTCTGTTAATTTACTACCATCTTTAGCAGGAGATCTTGTTTGCAACTTGTCTTTGCTTTGTAACACCTCATTGCATTGCAAGTCCAAATAAGGCTCAAAAATAAAACATCACGTTTGAGCAAAGAACTGTTTGTCTCCTTTTATTTACACCAATAAAACTTATTTCAATTTTAACAAGTCGGACTACTTTCACGGTTACAAAATAGCAGAAAATGCCAAGTGTGGGCTCTTGATTTGTTCCTCGATTACTTTTTTCCTTGCATCATGTTAAAATTACTTTTTTTTAAACAAGAACATTGTCTTTTGTTTGTTTGAATTCAAGGCTTCAATTTAATTCATGCCAGAGCACAAGCTAAGGCAACATCCGAATGACTATGGCTAGCAGTATGTACATGTGTACATGTCTATGGAAAGTGACTTCAGCTGCTTCCATAGTAGTCTATTGATACGCGATAACCCACCGCTGCAAGAGGGTGCTATCACAACCAACCAATATCGCCCACAGACTTGTCAGGAACGATGTCTAGGGAATCTCTTGAAATCTCCCACCGAAAAATTGGGGAAACCAGCGCTCATACGCAACTTCTGCAGGCAATTACGGTCCCACACATACTACTCGTATCAAAAGAGCTGATGGGTGAAGTTGCACAAAGGTCTTGCTACATCTTTTATTGCACTGGAAGAAATTTGAGAGTTTGCTTCGGAACTTCTATAATATTAGGCCAAACAGGTGCGTGCGTATTTCACAACCAATACGAGATTCCTTTGTTTCTGACAAGTCCGTGGACGATATTGGTTGGTCGTGATAGCGCCCTCTCGCAGCGGCAGGTTACCACGTATCTAACCATAACGAGGTCTAGCCCCTAGACTACTCCCATAGGTGCTTGTGTGACCGGAAGCCGTAGCCAAGTCATGTGGACATGGCTTGAAATTAATGGCGTTAAAGACACGGGGATCGGAAGTGCAGGAGGACGACGCCTCGGTTGCTATACACAAAATATGGCACTGATGATGCAAGTTCACTCTGCTCTCTAAAATACCATCTTCCAAAGGCCAACATGCGGATTGATAATACACAGCTTAGGTCCATGCCAGGAACGGAACTTAATGGCCAGGGATGGTTAAGAGCTCCCCCTATAGTTCAAACCATGCCAGGAAGTGTCAACGGCACCCTCTATAGTTCAGTTCACTTCAGGTTGGTCCAGTAGCATCGTGAACTTATCCCTGGATTTGGTCCGTGATACCGCAAGACTGCAATCCTTGAAGGCATTCACATCTCCCCACACTGCGAAATCACAACAGGGATCTTGGGTTTGTTGTTGGATCCAGTTGGTACATTCTGAATGAGGGGACAAAAATATGCAATTTTGTTCGGGGTTGTAGATAAAGAAAAGAGGAGAAAAGGGAAACAATGAGACAAGACATCTCCTACTTAGGTGAGCAACCACCTCACTGAATAAAGAGAGTACTACAGAACTTGAAAATGATGTGGTTATCATCTTAGAATTGGTACAGGTTTGCTTTTACAACTGAGCAAAAGTTAAGTCAAAAATTTAGATTTTTAAAACGATTCTTATGCTTGCCCTATAAACTGTGCCAAAATATAAGGGTCTCACTTTGGGAATTTTATATTAACTGCCCCCCCCCCCTCCCCGCTGAATCAACTGAGAAATATACCTACCTCTATCTTCCTCATAACTAGAAGGCCATCAATCACCTTGCCAAAGACAACGTGCTTAGTGTCTAAGAAGTCACACTTGGCGCAGGTAATGAAGAACTGGCAGCCATTGGTGTTGGGTCCAGAATTTGCCTGGACATAAATGAGATGGATTGGAAATGAGGTGAAACATTTTGCATCTCAAAGATTACTTCCTTTCAATGCAGCGTCAAGAATACGACAAGCATTGCATTTTGTAAGTAAATAATGTACAAACTCAGCTGGACCTTGCCAAATATTAGGAATTTATTAGCAAGTGGAGCGATGGTCCCATTTGTTGTACACAACAATGCATGACTGGGCTGTTGGATTTATGTTCAGTTGTTCACTGTAACCAGTATTTTGTTGTGACCAAATTTTTATGAACTAGAGTCAACTGGGTGTGATGTAACAACCTGTTTTTTTTTAAGAGACAAAAAATTTGTTTTAAGAGGGAAGTTCTCATTGTTCTTAGCCAGGATTTACATACCATAGAGAGAAGTCCGCTTGCATCGTGTTTTAGTCGGAAGTTTTCATCTGGGAAGGAGTTTCCGTGGTAGATACACTTTGAACCTGTACCATCTCCCTAAAGTAATCCAAATTAATCAATTAAAAATCAGAATTAGAATGGTGGGAGAAATCGGAGATTTCAAAAGCCGGTTATCCTAATTTTTTATGCAGCGAATAACACTTGTCCGATTTCACCAGAATCTCCAATTCAGCTCACCGTCATGTTCACAAACAGTGACAAGTGACGTGCTGCATGCACAATGATTAGGTATAGTTTGCAGGATTCAGTGACCACTGGGCCTTTGAAAATACACTGCAGAGATGTAATGTTGAAAAAAATGGGTGGGAAATAGCTGATCAGTCGAATGGGCAGGCTATTCAATGAACCAAGTAGACCACTAGCAAGTGAATGCAGTTACAATCAGACACCATGGAGCAAATTGGGGGATGTTCCAGTTGGTTTTTTTTAGCTTGTGTCACAGAAAAATGGAAGGGTCAAATGTTTGGTTTCGAATATCCAGTTTTCAAAATCCAAACCAAATACAGTTGAGTCTCGTTAATACAAACTCGTTCGGACCCAGCCAAATTGTTTGTTGTATCAGAATTTTGTATTAAGAGGAACATCAGTCCCCTTCATTGTGCACATAAATGCACAGTATAAGGCTTTTTGTTTGTTATAACCAGAATTTTGTATTAACAGAGTTTGTACTAACGAGATTTGATTGTACATGCACATGTAGTTGAGTTTCAAATCAATTTTAGAAAACCAAGATTTTAATCCCATCACTAGAATTGATACTTTGTCAGGCATGCAACTGGGAAGTCACAAAAAAGAGGAAATTAAAATCTTTCCCAGACTTTGTACAGTGTTTTTCTGTTTTCAATGGCACACATGGGAAGTAAAAAAAGAGGAAATCAGCTGATCCGAGGAAACGTTGCATGCCTGACTTTGTGCATGTCCATAAAACAGTGTGCAATGACCAATATTTCAAGGCCTTTGTTCAGTAGCAAAGATACAGGTAACTCAGTCACAAGAATGACAGAATTGTGAGAAATGTACAGACAAAAAGTGGGCGCAGCTTTATGGCTGAATCCAGAACATTCTGTTAATATCCATGCTTAAGCTGATGAATTAGTTTGAACAACTTACTTCAAAAAAAGCAAATTGCAAAATTCCATTAGTAGAACTTATTGGCATTGCTGTCTGTAGTCTGTACCTTGACAAAGTCTCCTCCTTGGATCATGAAATCTTTGATCACTCGATGGAACGTTGCTCCTTTATAACCAATGGGAATTGACTTTTCATCTCTGTGGATTCAAGTAATGACAAAAACAAAGGTATATGTATAACTTGTTTATTAATAACAAACCTGTGTTTGAGCATGAGCATTAAGCTTAATACAAACACAATTAAACTAGACAATCAATGGTTTCTTGATCAGAATTTACCTGTGCTCTCCCGTACAAAATTGTCTGAAATTTTCCGCTGTCTTTGGCACGACATCGGCAAACAATTCCATCTTCATTCTTCCTATATCCTGGATTAAAACGAACAATAAAACCTTGTACACTAGGCTACAATAACTAAAAAACAGAATACAAGCATGCCATACGCATGCTTCTTTTTTGGGGGGTAGGCCCCATTTTTTTGTTTTACTTAGGGGCCATTCAGAATAGTCAATGTTAACAAATGTCGATCTTTTATTCGAAACTGTGGGTGGGTGGGTCAAAGGAAATAACTGAAAATTTAAATTCAGTTTTAGAACTACATGTAGAAGAAAATAATACAAGAAAGGAACAACAAAAAAAACCAAAAAATACCCAGCTGCCTCTTCCAGATTGTCATGTCTGTCATTGGACACAGCAAGAGCTAATCATAACGAAGCAGAAATAATCCTTTTTATTTTATGAATTTCTTAGAAAACAGGAAACATTGTCATGATTGTACAAAGTATTGTGTGCTTGGCAATTTCCGTCTGTTTCAAAACCAAAGTTGCGTGCTGGAAGCCTAGTACCATTGAAAACTTGTGAGCCAGGACAGCATTGAACTGAAGTGTCTGCCCAGTGTCATTTGAAGAATTAGGCTACTTTGTGTGTATACGATATATCATGGAGGAATAAAAACACATTGCTGGATATATTGAAAAGTCATTTTCAGCATTTAAAAATCAAAATTTAGGCGGGAAGGTGGGTAAAATTAAAACAATTTCAAAAAAAGATCAATTTTTTTTTAACATTGTCATTATTGACTCGATTGTCGCCCCTTTCCTGCCCTAAAGACAGTATGAATTATTGAAATTGCCGAACATGTTTCTGTCCAAACATGGTCCAAACGATTTGAAGTTCACCCCCCCCCCCCCCCCCCCCCCCCCCCCCCCAAAGAAAAAGTTGGCCAACCGCGCGAGGGCGCACAGCGTACTGATCCGTCGGTGTTCGACGTTCAGTCAACATGTGAAACATGAAACGCCCATTGAAAGTTTGAAACATTCAAAGAATCAACAACGAATTGATCTAGACGGATTAATAAAGCAATTTTTTTTCTCAACTCTGAAATTCTTTATTCATTGAAATAAATACCTGTCCTCCGATAGAAATATCGAAGAAAACAACCGGATTGTCTGGATGCCTTTTCACAGCACCGGTGAGCGAGTTACCCGCCATCTTTAAAATGATATTTTCTCATGGCTGGTAACCAAACTTTTCTTTTATGGATTTATAACAGCTTAACCGGGTACCATGAGACTTTCTCTTACGCTGAGTTTCAACCTTTTTTTACACACACGAAATCTGACAATGAATCAAATGGGTATGAGGTTGTATCCGAATGCCAGTGTGTGCACTAAATTGTCTTTTTAGGTTCTAAAAATGGTAAGTCAAATGCCACCAAATATTTCGATTTATAGAGGATTGATCTTTAAATTAGTGACACCGATAAAAAGGAAGAATTCAGCACAGTGTGAGACTTTTGTGTGTATATATCTAGTAGAAAAGTGTCAAGAACTTGGGAGCCAAATAAAGTCTGTAATTATCGTTTGGTTGTGATTTTTACACGCATAGCAGATAGCTAGTTCACGGTAAGACGTGCGCATCACATGCACACTGTACCGTGTGATCGTTATGCATGGTTGATTTCCGTAACGATGGACGCTGTGGCTATGCGGATGGATGGATCATACATGTCATAGAGCTGTTCCTTGCTCTATGGATGGATGATCGATCGGCTGTGTCAGCAGTTAATAATGCTGGACATTAATGACAGAACTTTTCCTGCAGGATCTGACTCTGAGTGATATATTTCAGAGCTAAATCAGTCGTGTCACTCATGAGTGACATGACTTCATGTGTCAGTCAGTCCATGGTCAGTCATGTCACTTGTCAGTGCCAGTGGTAGTTTTCTCATCAAAATATATATCGAAGAAAAGACAAAGTCAACATGGTCAGATAGCCTAGTTTAATAACAAACAGACAACAAACAAAATAAATAATAACCATGATAACAGAATACATGTGTATTGTCTGATTGTTTGTATAATCAGACCAGTAAAACTGCATGATCCTATTTCTACACACTCACCTTTAATTTGCGTTTGGCAATGCGCACGTTGCAAAGCATTAATCCGTTATCTGTGCGGATTTAGGAGGATCGAGGAAATATTAAAAATTACAATGCAGTAGGCCTAGGCCTTTCCCTTTTTTACACCATATAGAGCTCAGTGACAGCATGGAGGAGTTCTTATTCATCCAAGTTGACAGCCAGTCATTGATGCCTGTTTCAGTGTTTATCTATATAGAATGTATATGTTTCATGTCTCTCCGTAGACTTTGTAGTTTGTACACAACTTCCAAAGCAAAATGCCTTGATATACTTGAGGAGATGCGAGACTGACTTCTTTTCTTCCATTGAATATAAATTATTTTTTTCATGGTGACATTGCTTGACAATTTATAGTTGTATTTTGCAGGTTTGAGTAACAACCAAAATGCTCAGCTATATCACAACTTGATGACAAGAATAATTGTTCAACATCTGACAGTGTCAAGAGTACTCAACCATCATGGGATCCAAGAAAGCGCCAGGCAATACTCTGGTTGCCTTCGAGGATGATCTCAATTCAATCGTTAAAGAGGTAAGAATTCTTTCCAAAATGCACACTTTAAGATTTATGATCCAATTTTGCCATTTGAATCTTTTAATTTGTATTTTTTTCCCTGGTCTGTGATGTTCAGTATTTAGAATTCTGCACCTTCAATGCAACACTGAAATCATTTGAGTCTGAGAGTAGAGAGAGGGGTAAACCCTTGAAGCCGCTGCCGAAGAGACCATGGGATATGAAGAAGAAAGACTTACAGGTAGGAGCAACCAAACCTCCATTAACCAAATGAAACTCAATCCTTTCAAACTCAGCTTGAGAAAACCAACTGAACTCACTGGACCAACCCATCCAAGTAAAACCCCACCCAACCTTAATACAACACAACTCAATCTCACAACCCACCCCAGCCCACCAGACCCAAGCCAACCCAAGCAAACCCAACCCAACTAACACAAGTGTGTATTTGCCTGCAATCAGGGAACACCCTATTGTCCCTCTTTTGTTTGTGCTCTTAAGTTTTTAGGAAGACCTCCCATATGTTTTGTACAGATCGCTAAATTGGGAACCTTCGGGAATTCGGGACCCTATTGTCCTCTATTATTCAACGTCCCCTATTGAATGCAGAAACAAACTCAACCCAACCCTACCCAACCCGACCCAACCCAACCCAACCCAACCCAATCCAACCCAACTCGACCCAACCCTACCCAACCCAACTCAACCCAACCCTACCCAACCCGACCCAACCCTACCCAACCCAACTCAACCCAACCCTACCCAACCCGACCCAACCCAACCCAACCCAATCCAACCCAACCCAACCCAACCCAACCCAACCCAACCCAACTCGACCCAACCCTACCCAACCCAACCCACAACCCAACTCAACCCAACCCAACCCAACCCAACCCAACCCAACCCGACCCAACCCTACCCAACCCAACTCAACCCAACCCTACCCAACCCGACCCAACCCAACCCAACCCAACCCAATCCAACCCAACCCAACCCAACCCAACCCAACCCAACCCAACCCAACTCGACCCAACCCTACCCAACCCAACCCACAACCCAACTCAACCCAACCCAACCCAACCCAACCCAACCCAACCCAACCCAACCCAACCCAACCCGACCCAACCCTACCCAACCCAACCCAACCCAACCCAACTCAACCCAACCTGACCCAACCCAACCCAACCCAAACCATCCCAACCCAACCCAACCCAACCCCACCAAACCCAACCAAACCCAACCCAACCTACCCTTCATGTACCTTGAAATAAGTTGATGTGTTCTTTTTGCTTTTGCAGTCCAACTTGCTCTCCCTGTTCAAAGTTGGTTCTCGTAAGGAGTTCTTCCACCTCTGGGATGAGAACATTCCTGAGAGCGTGAAGTCCAACGACCCTGTCTGCAAGAAACTGGAGTTTTATCTCAGCATCTACTTTGCTATCTATCCCATCAAATATCAACTCAGCACAGGCAAAAAGGTGAGTGGTTTATTTTAGGAAGTTGAAGTTGCAGGGAACTTTTTTTTTTTTCCAAGCAATAGTCCTAATGAGGTTAAAAAAATGTTGAATTTAACTACTGCAGACGTGTGTGCTTGCTTTCTTCTGGTTGGAGAATAAGCCAATAATCATGAAAGTGAGCTGTGTAAAATATCATATATTTTTTTCAAATTAAAAATGAGTTGATGCACCGTATTCTGTAGATGTCATGTTTTGTACATGTAAATTTTAGTTTCTTGATTTACCAGTTTCTTAAGAGTTCAATTTCCGCCTTTTCCCATGATTCCACAGAGCAAGATGAAAGTAGAGGACTCCATGTTGTCATTCAAGACGTTTCTTGAATCGCGAGGAGCCGCGCTCAGCCAAACCACGGAATTCCTTCCCTTCTACGCCCTTCCATTCGTTCCAGACCCGACTAAGCACCCTTCCTACAAGGAACTGTTTCAAGACTCATGGGTACCAGACCTTCAGATTCGTCTGGAGAAGTTTCTGATGCTGACGTTGCCTGCTCATCCACAGCCGAGGCTGTTTGAGATCTACGTATCCTTAGATTGTGTACACTAGCAAGTTTTCAGAATAACATGCTTGTGTTGGAATGAACTCTAGTCTTCTGGAGTGAAAACTCATTGACATGTTTTAATGACACGGACAAGTACAGGCAATATGAAATAATTTGTTTAACCCTCCTATGCACACATACATTCTGTGCCAAGTTGTCCTTGCAGTCAAAATCAATCAAGTGACTGTTTTCAACAGTTCAGAGTTCCCAGCCTACATAAAGCAGGATTGACTGGCTGTGACTGTTTATGTAACTTGATACAGCTTTGCTTTGACTGTAGGTGATTGATAAGCCAGCTGTGCTTACCACTTGCCTGTTTTTGTCTGTTGACTGAATTTGACTAGTCACAGTGCTTGCTTGAAATGTGATCTGACTGTTGGTGACTAGCCTGTGTAAAAAGCATGGCAGGGGAAGAGGACTGATTTTTTTGACTGTCTGTGACTGTTCAAAATACAGGAGGGTTAATGCGTGTGTCAATAAATATTGTTTTTCTTAACCTAGTATAAAACAGCAAGATCTCAATAACAGTAAGTATAATTGTATTGAGTGAAAGTAGCATTTGTTCTGTCCGACTTATAGTTTTTCCCCTAATTTTTTAATTGGGTGCCTTCTTTTTCAATCGTATAATCTGATAATTGGACTTTCTTCCAATATTAAATGGTGGATTCTTTACAAAGACATTTTGCTTCTTCCTTCTTTTTTTTTAGAAAATGCCGAGCAAATGAACCAGTTACAGCAGAATGTAGTCGAGGCTGAGAAGCGGTGTATGACGTACATCAAACGCTACAACAAGCTACAGGTCAGATATACTTTGACTTTGGGGTAACCTTGTTGCCACAGTATTTGTTTTCTGTTGAATCTACAAACCTTTGAGTGCTTGGGCATTTAGGGGCGGATGCTGTACCGCCCCAAACTGCCCTGCCTCTTACTCCCCGTACTGCCTGAAACTGCCTGAGCGCTCTATGTTTGTATGGATTTATCGGTGAATAAACACAATGTAATACAATGTAATACAATGTAATACAATGTAATACAATGTAGTACCATGTAATACAATGTAATTCAATGTAGTACCATGTAGTACAATGTAATACAATGTAATACAATGAAGTACAATATAATACAATGTAATACAATGAAGTACAATGTAATACAATGTAATACAATGAAGTACAATGTAATACAATGAAGTACAATGTAATACAATGTAATACAATGTAATACAATGAAGTACAATGTAGTACAATGTAGTACAATGTAGTACAATGTAATACAATGTAGTACAATGTAGTACAATGTAATACAATGTAATACAATGAAGTACAATGTAATACAATGTAATACAATGAAGTACAATGAAGTACAATGTAATACAATGAAGTACAATGTAATACAATGTAATACAATGTAGTACAATGTAATACAATGTAATACAATGAAGTACAATGTAATACAAGGTAATACAATGTAATACAATGTGATACAATGAAGTACAATGTAATACAATGTAACACAATGTAATACAATGTAGTACAGGTGCTAATAATGCTTTAGAGTGGTTGTGAAATATTGTACAGAAATAATTGGAATCGGATTTATGTCTGTTACCTTCACAGTCGGACTACCACAACTTAATAGGGATCACAGCAGAGCTTGTGGACTCCTTGGAAAGCTGTATTAATGGTGACCCGGTAAGCAGTTTAACAAAAACGCTTAGCACCAATTGGTATCATTCTGCTAATCACTTACTGTTACTGATAAGAGATGTTAAATATCTTATAAGTTGTATAAAAATTCAACTAGGTTTTTTTCCTTCATATAATTTTATTTTTAATGTCGTGATTTTATTGGATTCATCAAAACTGTGTATTAGATTTTATAGAATTAATATAAGTTGTGAAAACTAAGGGGGGTCTTCTTCTTTTGCTAATAAACAAAAATGGATTCAAGATATCACATCCATTTTAAAACTCAGACTCTTCAACTCATGATTTCTCACTTCTGTCGTTAAACTTGTGATATGAAGACGCCCATAACGAATTCTCAATCCACCAATTTTCATGGTATTGTGTTGTCAAAGGTAACCCCGGAGTACTTACAGACCGTTTGTCAGCGACTGTTCTCCAATCAACTCCGTGAATCTGTGGATATCAACAGACCCTCCACGGTAAGTGGACTGATTCTAAGTTGATTGCTGCAGTGGTGTGTTTGAGTCCATCACAAGTCCTCAGACGTGCTCTCAAGACAGTCCCAAAAAGAAATCCAGCCACAAGTCAACTCACAAGCTATTCAAAGGAACCGTGACAAAGGCATTCCTTTGTCATTGGTCTTCCCTTATTACTTGTAACTGGACTTGGAAATTGACTTGCGATTGACGAGTGACTAGATTTGTGATCGACTTACAACACTTGATCGGCTCAACTTACAACACTTGATCGGCTCAACTTACAACACTTGATCGACTCAACTTACAACACTTGATCGACTCAACTTACAACACTTGATCGACTCAACTTACAACACTTGATCGACTCAACTTACAACACTTGATCGACTCAACTTACAACACTTGATCGACTCAACTTACAACACTTGATCGACTCAACTTACAACACTTGATCGACTCAACTTACAACACTTGATCGACTCAACTTACAACACTTGATCGACTCAACTTACAACACTTGATCGACTCAACTTGCAACACTTGATCGACTCAACTTACAACACTTGATCGACTCAACTTGCAACACTTGATCGACTCAACTTACAACACTTGATCGACTCAACTTACAACACTTGATCGACTCAACTTACAACACTTGATCGACTCAACTTACAACACTTGATCGACTCAACTTACAACACTTGATCGACTCAACTTACAACACTTGATCGACTCAACTTACAACACTTGATCGACTCAACTTACAACACTTGATCGACTCAACTTACAACACTTGATCGACTCAACTTACAACACTTGATCGACTCAACTTACAACACTTGATCGACTCAACTTACAACACTTGATCGACTCAACTTACAACACTTGATCGACTCAACTTACAACACTTGATCGACTCAACTTACAACACTTGATCGACTCAACTTACAACACTTGATCGACTCAACTTGCAACACTTGATCGACTCAACTTACAACACTTGATCGACTCAACTTGCAACACTTGATCGACTCAACTTACAACACTTGATCGACTCAACTTACAACACTTGATCGACTCAACTTACAACACTTGATCGACTCAACTTACAACACTTGATCGACTCAACTTACAACACTTGATCGACTCAACTTACAACACTTGATCGACTCAACTTACAACACTTGATCGACTCAACTTACAACACTTGATCGACTCAACTTACAACACTTGATCGACTCAACTTACAACACTTGATCGACTCAACTTGCAACACTTGATCGACTCAACTTACAACACTTGATCGCTGATGATTTATTCAGTGAATGTTGTAAATGCAATTTACAACAATTTGGAAACATTTGGTTGATGGCATGTTTCAGGGCAAACTGTCAGATTTGGGATCTCACGCATTTTACATTTTGGGAGGAAAATATTACATCAACTTTCAATTTTTTTTTCTTGCTGTAGGCTGGAGAGATGTTTCGTGCTTCATTTGCACCTCCAAGGTAATATAACATAAACATGCAATGCGACGATTTCCATCTCTGCACAGAAATAATTAGTTTTTTCAAAGAGTACCGATTGTGTGGTAAATTTGGTAATATTTTTAATCTCAATTGAATTGCAACCATGTGGTTCTTATCTAGTATGACGGAAAGTAGTTCAACTGGTGTTGGGATGTTTTTACTTTTTTTTCTTTCTTTTTTTGGTTTCTTTGAAGTACAAATATTGTATATTGTGTAATATTTAGCTTCGTGATTTTTATTATATTTTTTTATGATTGCAGGTGAATCTATATATTTTTGCTAATTGATTTTGTTATTTTTTGTTTGATTTGGTTGCATGTTGGTGATGATGATGCATGTCCCTATCCCCATTGTGTTCCCCTCAATGTAGCCCGATTCCCGAGGAAAGAAGGTAAATCATTCCCTTTTGTTCTTTTGGTTCTCCTTCCTTTGTTCTCCTTCTTGAATTGTTAATTTGTAGTTTCTGTACTTGATTGTTAAATCATTAGCACTATTTCACAAATTCTTTAGTACCTTTTATATCTGTTTTCAAGATGAATGTAAAATAGACTAATCAACATCTGTTTACCTCTAATCAGTGAGAGAGACATTGCTTATTCATTTGTCATCCTCATCAAACAAACGCTGTGTACTTATCATTCATGTGTACTTGTGGAACAGTTTAACTCGACACACGCCATGAATAACTTCATATTTTTCATTAAAGTGCTGTACAGATTGTGCATATCCAACAAATCTTCAGTGTGTCTTTTATATAAGCATTCATTTTGCCTTCAAGTTCCAGTGGTAGCATTTAGATAGACATTAACATCTCAGCATCTCTTGCTTTCTGCTTCTGCTAACATGAATGAGCTCTGTAGCTTCTACTTTCCATTCTTCAACCTGTTGCTTGATTCATACATTATATTAAATGAAAATAATACATATACAAAGTTGTTAACTATATGAAAGTTCAAATTAGGTTTTGCCCTTCACCGACGTTTAAACACTGTATACTCAGTGTGTTACCTCCCAAGTGAAAGTTGGAAAAAATCACTCGGGTGAGACTCGAACCCACGACCTCCTGCTTTCTAGTGCAGATGTCTTACCACTCGACCACCGAGCTAACGGGATCGGTTGGCTGGTTCGAATCTGATGTACATAGCAGCGGGTACCGCATGAACTATATATGAAAGTTATGTAAGAAAGGTTTCCACTTTATGAGTTTAGAGACCCGACGAGATATTTATTTCCTAACTAAATTACATGCTTGAGCTACTTTGACAAACGCATGCAATACCTTTTAATGACTTTCTTTGTTGGGTGTATCAGGTCAATTTGTGAAAGTATAGTTTTCTTAGTACGTCACCACTTTGACACATTTACATCTTGGTTCACAGTAAGGAGGAGGTACCTTTACTACCATCACTAGACTACGACAGAGTGAAACATGACATGGTCAAGGCTCCGTCAAGACGACGAGAATTATTGCTGCAAGCTCTAAGATGGGTGAGTCAAACATACTAAGAAGGTTCAAAGGAACTGGTACTTTACTGAAACAAACAAGCCAAACTGGTGAAGTTTCCTTTTGGCTGGACTCCCTCTTGTTGTCTGGATGACTGACTGACAGACAGACAGATCACCCACTCTCTCTATTTTTGCTAGAAAACTAAAAAATCAATTTTTAATTGCATACTAAAACAATGTAATAGGGATAACAACGGCCTTGATTACTGTCTTACACCGGTGTTTGTGCTCTGTCTTTCCATGTATGTCTGTCACTTGTCTGTCTGTCCATAGGCTGGGGAACAAAAGCTGATGCTTCACCCCGTACCTAGATGCTGCCATTTAGTTAATGTTCACTATTGTAAATACATATATATGTACATGTATTGCCAATTTGAATATATAACACTATGTATCGTCCTTTATGCAGCATCGAAATAAATGTATGTATCTGTATCTGTGAAAGACTGACTGAGCCACCGAGTATTAATAATGTTCTTAATTAACTGAGCTTTTGGCTCCAGTACGACAAAGGCAAACCTACTCTTGTTTATTAGTCACATTTTAAATTTTACAAAGAAATTGGCTGAAAACGGGACTTCTGGATAACCCTACCAGTGCTTTACCAACCAAGCTATCCAGCCCTATGCTGGCACCCTCCTTATCTAAGAGGAACGGTATTTGGTAAAAAGTTTGAAATGTTGTTGACTTTTTTTGTTTCTTGTAGCGTTTGACACGTAGTGAACCTGGTGGACAGCGAGACACTGTGCTAGCTGCTTACATACAGCATGACTTGTTGGGATGTGCTGAGGATGATGAACATAGAGTAAGTGATTCAAATTACATCATTACACTGACTTAGGCAGTTAGCCTGGTGAACAGCGAGACACTGTGCTAGCTGCTTACATACAGCATGACTTGTTGGGATGTGCTGAGGATGATGAACATAGAGTATGTGATTCAAATTACATCATTACACTGACTTAGGCAGTTAGCCTGGTGAACAGCGAGACACTGTGCTAGCAGCTTACATACAGCATGACTTGTTGGGATGTGCTGAGGATGATGAACATAGAGTAAGTGATTCATATTACATCATAACACTGACTCACGCAGTTAGCCTGGTGAACAGCGAGACACTGTGCTAGCTGCTTACATACAGCATGACTTGTTGGGATGTGCTGAGGATGATGAACATAGAGTAAGTGATTCAAATTACATCATAACACTGACTCACGCAGTTAGCCTGGTGAACAGCGAGACACTGTGCTAGCTGCTTACATACAGCATGACTTGTTGGGATGTGCTGAGGATGATGAACATAGAGTAAGTGATTCATATTACATCATAACACTGACTCACACAGTTAGCGTGGCGAACAGCGAGACACTGTACTAGCTGCTTACATACAGCATGACTTGTTGGGATGTGCTGAGGATGATGAACATAGAGTAAGTGATTCAAATTACATCATAACACTGACTTAGGCAGTGTCTGAATTAGTAGGCTACTTTTGGCAACAACACACACGTGTTAGCCTTCTTCCTTTGGTCCTTTGACATAGATTGAGGTATTGCTGTCTCATTATCATTATTGCATGGATGCAAAATATGCTGACAGACAAAATCTGTGCTTAAAGCCCGGTTCATACTCAGCGCGAAAGCGAACGCGAACGCGAATTTGTGACGTCATGGCAAGTATTCGCGCTGCGAATTCGTAAAAGTTGAACACATTTCAACTCTGGCGAATTTCGCAGCAAATGTTTCATGACGTCAAATTCGCTTCGCATTCGCTTTCGCATGGAGTATGAACCGGGCTTGATAGGTGACAAAAATGTAAAAATGTGACCACAGGGACAAAAACGGCAGCAGTGCATACGTGTCTGAATAATATTCCCATATGCAAAAGAAGTTGGCATACAAAGAGTATCCGTATGAAGAAAAAAAAGTTTCAACCCTGAAAGTCATGGTACCTTATAACTGCTGTCAGTATAAGCAACATGGTTGTGTTGATTAAAAAAAAATTAAAAATGAAATGAAACCATTTTCTATTGTACTAGTGATCAGCCTGCTCTTGAACATCCCAACTTTCAAGTTATTTCAACCTCGTTTTAAAACCTGACCCTTTCCTTTGTATGTAACCAGGATGCTATGATGGATGCACTTACCTCTGGGGAGGAGGTGACCCAGCAGTATATGGCCAGGCTCTTCAATGCTTTTGCGTCTCTTTCAACAGGTAGAGTTGGACTCAGATTTTGTTCTCATAACATAAAAATCCATAATTTTGCCAAAGTTTCTTATAAAACACTTTTTTGCAGCTAGTGTACCATTGTTTCAAGGCCAGTGTAAACGTTAGGGTCTGTACTAACCTATTTGAAAAGCATGAAGTCACTAACAAATTTTTGTGAAATTTATAAAATAGTGTAACAGTAGGGATTAAAATCCACTTAATACAATTAAACTCATTTTAATGCATCGGTGATGTAGTAAAGTTCATCACAAGTCAATCACAAGGCAGAACACTTGTAAATCTCAAGTCAATTCACAAGTCAGATGGACAATAACAACGCAAAACCTTTGTCAGAGTTCGTTTCATTAGCTTGTGACTAGACTTGGGAATGGAGGACTTTTGATTGCCCTGTGATAGACCTGTTATGGACTTGATTACAAAAAGCAGTATTGAAAGTCCACAAGACGATAATCACATGATCTTAAGATGATTGTGATGATGTTTCACATCTTGACTGACAGGGAGGAACTATCTTGGCAAGAATGAAGAGATAGTCTCCGTGCTCCAGTTGGCCTTACAATCAGAAGACAAGGATCCTATCACTAGAGAGAATGTACTGGGAGCTCTGCAGAAACTCAGTCTCAAGTAAGCGGATAAGTCTGCCTAGTTTGTTTACATAGAGGCCCATTGTCATGATGCTAAGAGATGCTAAGCACAGAAAAAAAATGCTTAGCACAAACTGGTCACCAGCCGGAATCGTGTGTGATGTACATTGCTAGTGGCTGGCTCCCTGTTGGTTTTTTTGCTTAGACTATTTGCTATGCACCATTTTCTGCTTATAGCTCAGTGAAATAAGATGCTGCTTTTAAACCTGAACAGTTAGAGGCATTGTGGAAACTTGGCCTAAAATGATAAGAACTTTCAGAAGTAGTTCATGATAGTTAAGAATCTTTTCATTTTACATCATTTTGCTGTACGGTAAGCAGAAATATTGATCAAAATGGTACCTGCTGGACCAATGTACCAATGTTTTGGCTGAATTCCATCAAGCATTCTTTCAATTCCAATTGTTTAAGACAGTTATTTATGCCATCAGGGTCGCATAGGTGGCTTGTGCATAAAGCGCTTGCCTCTCACCACTGCTGCCCAGGTTCGATTCCCAGCTCGTACAATTATGCAAGTAGAGTTGTGCGTAGATTCTCTCCTGTGCCACGAGGGTTTTTGTCCGACTCTCCGGTTTTCTGGCTGTGCTCTGTGGTCATACATGGTCGCATGGCGGCTGCCTAAGGTGCCTTTACATGCCTGCGGCCCGACCACGTTGTAGCCGTGTCCTTCGCAATTCAGTTTCTCAGCAGCGAGTAAAGATGATAAGCCCCCAAATTATTATTATAGTAAAGAAATATTTGACATTTTTGTTTCATTCAGGCGACATCTACAAACATCCATGATCAATGCAGGAATCATCAACTGGCTGGTGGGTGTGCTAGAAGATAGTGACTCCCTCTCAGATTACACCCTGGAGTATTCAGTAGCACTCTTGATGAACTTGTGTCTCAGAACCGCAGGTAATTTGAGGACGTTTTAATTATTGATGGATCAAAAGATCCTCCGACTAACTCAGGATTCACTGACTGACCTACTGACTGACGGTCCTTAACTGGGCCGACTTTCAGGTCCAGTTGAACTAGACAAGACTGGTCTTGTTTTTCTATCTATTATAAAAAAAAATGTAGTTGTGTGAACATTTCATTCGAAAAATTGCTAGAAAAAGCTTTTGTTGGAATGCAAATCATTCTTGTGTTTGTGCTTTACAGGAAAGAAAAACTGTGTGACTGATCGGACCAAGATGCTGAAGGTTTTGAGTGACTTATTGGGACATGAAGACCAAGAGGTATAGTGTCTAGCTCTGGCAAATCTTGGAAATCTTGGGGAAAAAATCCAAAACTGTGTATTTGTCAACTTATTTGTGATATATTTGGTAAAGATTAGCTCATATGTGTATGTGAACTGCATCCTGTAAAGCATCCTTTCTAGCAGTATTATGTCGTTATGTATTTTATACAGATTCGTCCCTATGTGAATGGCACCTTGTACAGCATCCTTTCTGTGCCAGAAATAAGAGAAGAAGCTAAGGCAATGGTAAGGACAAAGTAAATAGAGTAATTAGAGTTTGATTGATTTTGTAATTTTGGTTGCAAGGAGAAAAACATTATTTTGTTGAAGAAATTACTGGTATGTTTTTGACAAGTTTAGCCGACCTCAGAGGTTTGCATGTTTCATTTACAGCTTTGAAATATTTCTTTTAACTTAAAATGATTGGGCAAAGTTGAAAACTATGTAATTTTTTTGAGGCCAAAAAAATTCTGATGTCCAGCATAATGCTACATGCTGTCTGTTGGTAACACTTTTGCCGTGATTTATTGTTATTATTCCAATATTTTCAGGGGATGGAGGAAACGCTGAAATGTTTCATCAAAGATGACACACCAGAGATGAACCGACAGATACACTTCATCATCAAACAGCTAAACACAGGTACAGACTGACAGATGCTTAAATGATTGAATGCACAAAACTAATGCATGGCAAATCGTACTTGAGGAGACAAACAGCTGAGACTTTATCTGCAAGGTGTTCCTGATGGGAATCAGACAAGGATCAGAAAAGGATAAAAAAAAACCCTCATTTTTAGGCTTTCCCTCAACAAATTGCTGCAGTAAACAGAACTCTGCAACAATACTAGCTTCAAGCCATCTAATGAATCCTGTACAATCAAATTTCTGCAAAATCAAAAACTGCTCAATCAAACAATTTGCAAAGATAGAAAAAAAATCGTCTTTTCGTAATATCATCAAGAGAAGAACAGAATCTAGAAAGCCGTTTATGTCAATTTAATACTGTAAGTGGAATCGAGGTCGGTGTGAGTGAACTATTTTTGTGAAATATATATTTTATTTTTTCATTAGATGTCATCAGTGAAGACGCTGAATCAGACGATGAAGAAGAGGAGGAAGATGGAGAGGTAAAAGATGAATATTAATGAGTTCATGAATATGAATGAGTATTCATGAATATTAATGAGTTACTATAAAGGACATGGCCCCAAATAAAACAATTGTTTATTTACTTCAACCAAAGTAATTGAATTCCCATAATTCACATTTGTATAAGTCACATTCCATTATAATCAAATGTTATATTGTAAATCAGTATATTTCAATTTCCTTCAGTTTTTCTACTATTATACCAACTAATTACTTAATTAATTTATTAACCACTGATTTAGATTATAGCTTTAATTGTTGTTTATTTCATAAGTTATTCACAAACGGGACCAGGCTCTGTATAAGCTGAGGCTTTTTTCCTGGTTCCCCCATCTGTCACCATTTATGTTTAATTGATCAAAGTCTTGTACATGTATTTGCATTCTATTAAGTTTAGTTATTGTTGTAGTAAATAAACTGTTGCATTAGCATTATATTAATTTGTGACAAATGGAAAAATAAACAATACAATACAATACAATACAATTCTTAATTTGAATTTACAGGAAGATCAGGACCAAGATGCGATGGAAGCAGATTTAGACAAAGCTGAAGCCATCAAGGCTAAACCTGGTGAGCTAGCAGGAGAGAAACTACTCAGCACTGAGTACCTAGGGGTAAGAGGAATTTGCAATCATGAATTATTCATATGTTCTCATGCATATTCATCATGTTGAGTGATTATTTGCAGTGAATTGATAGTTATCGTGCCATAATTGCAGCGGTGTTCTTTGTCGATATAAATTCATTGTGCTTAATGTTTGTATAATGTCAAGTGTCTGATTCACTGTATGCTCAAATCATCAGGAGTGGTTAACCTAATAGACAAATTAAAAATATGTTTATCAAATCAGGAATTGAGGAGTTTGGAATTGTATTCAACTGAGTACTGAATATGAAACCTGTTCCTTCTTGACCTAATTCCTTATTCACTTCCAGATGCTGACCAATGCTCAGTTTCTAAGTCTGTCCCAAGACAAGGTAGCATTAAGCTTCACTGTCTATGCATTATTCATGTTATTATATCCTGCTACCCAATCAGATTAGTTGAGGTTTGCTTAATCCCACCCCTACCTGCATAATTGCTACAGTGTGTAACCATCCTGCAATCCGATTGGCTGATGCATGTGTCATCCCACCCACCACACTTTCCAGAATAGAAAGTGATGCATTATTCATATTCTGCATGGTCTGCTGCCCAATCAGATTAGGGGACTCACTGTTTAACTCCGCCCTTACAGTTATTTCACATATGGGCAATTCCACGGTAACGGAAGGACGTTTTCACTCATTAAACAAAATTTCAAATGTGTGTATCACAGACACTGTTCATAGTTACAGCAAACAAATGTCACAATTGTATTGCTATCATGCTACTTTCATTTTCCACACTTTTGGGGGGCATGAATGCCTCCCGTTTATGAATTATGAATATTAATGAGGTCGGTAACGGAAGGACGGTAAAACGGACAAGGGTTTTCCAACTTACTCGCGTTTTGCGTAAACTCTGTGAATTTTATGGGGCAATTATATTTTAAAGGTAGGAAATGGAATCCCTGAAGCTTTATCTATACTCTACCGCCTTTCATTTGACTTTAAGTGTTTCGGTAATATAATTACAACATTTTAAGCAGATTATAATTTGGTAACGGAAGGACGGTAACGGAAGGACAAAAGGTTTACTCAATTATAGCATGAACAAAATGTGAATTTACACTAATTATACAAGTGAAATAAATTGATGAAATGTGTAACTGAATGTGAAATCAACAATATGCAGACCTGGCATAAATAATTATACCCAAGAAACTATTGAGATAAAGATAGAAGCCTGCTAATTAATGATAACAAAAGAAAAATCAAATTACAATGATTTAGAGTAGTAACAATTAATTTATAAACATCCAAACTGAAATTGTTAACTTGGGCATAATTTGTCAAAGATTGCACCTCACATATCTTACACATGTAAATTGAATGAAAGTGCCCCAAAGTACCGGTACTTTCTGCCATCTCATTTTTGACTTAATTTGCTTCTGGAATGGCTTCACAGAATTCGTATCTTTCTCTATTGTCCATGAATGCTGATGGCAGCAACTTTATGATTTGATTTTCTGCAACAACTCCATACATGTACAAGTTCTCATGTATGTACATGTACATTGTACATGTTGTACATGCCTGTGCCTTCCTTTGTAATAAACACCTTGCCCTGCTTATCCTGCTTTTGCGAAGGTGGGTCACATGAATGTCCTTTTAATGCTCATTATACATGCATGTATTTGCAGTGATTTTTATTTTTCAAACATGAGCGCAAATGTCGTAACATTTGATAAAAATACGATTTGTCCTTCCGTTACCGTCCTTCCGTTACCAATTTGGTAACGGAAGGACGTGATTTAATTAATTGTAATTAAAAAACGAGAAGTACAGCAGTGTCAGTTATAATGTCATATTGAAGGCCTACCAAACTTGCTTTGCACAATAACTTTCAATGCATTCATACTGCAAGTTTTAAAAATAAATTTAAAATATGTATTTTTTCGGTAACGGAAGGACATTTTCGAAGGCTGAAATATTAGAAGTCACTGAAGCGAAACAAATTACGCAAAATGTTAAAAACAAGTTTTAGTCAGTTTTTCAAGACCAATACTTTCTCATGACAGAAACTGATGGCATTAGTACATATTTTTGTGTGTCTATTGGTAGAATACTTTCATATCACTATTAATCACATTTTTAGGATTAAAAAAGGATTATTACATAATCCTATTTTTTGGTACCGAAATGTATAAAAAATAAAATTCCGACTTCAAATCTTGAAAATATAGACTTTTAGCTTTCATTTGATACCAAATTTGTTTAAGTCACATGTATTTGAATTTTTTGGTGTCATGTCCACTTTGGTGTGGAATTGCCCATATGTAGCTTGAGAAACTATTTACATTACTGATAAAGAGCTCAATGTCTTTACAACGAATGGTACTCATACTATTACATATAGTAGTACAACTATTAACTTTTTTGGCCTATTGCACATAATAGATCATGATATCAATTGATTGTGTCACATCGGCAGACCCCCAATTTTTGTCTGAACAGTCAATTCAATAAAATCACATCCCTACACTTTGACATGCATGATTGCAATATTTATTCCGATATGTTCTGTGCCAATCGGTGACACTGTTTTACCCAAACAACTTGCAAATGCTATGATGTACATTATTTGAAATTTATTCACAGTAATAGTTTTTCGGATGCCTTTGTCTCATTTAATGCATATTTTTTTCTAATAATAAATTGTTCCTCTCACATGCAATGACTCTCAATCTACATGTACTCAATTCCTTTCTATTGTCATGATTGTATGTGTCCTGTGCTGTGTCATTCACTGAATCGTATCTGGTAAATGTGTACGTCTTGGTGGTAATTGGTAATATTGTTCAATTGTCTTTAGTTGTGAGCAGCTGATGTTTACATTTTTCGTCAAACCCTGCCAGTTGACTGCATGTATCCAGAATGCTCCTTCTCTCCTATTAAAATCTAGAGCACTGTGGAGGGACCGGAACCAGACTAGTCTACTCCTATTGTTAGGCTGTGGCGCATGCGTGAAGCCAAGAAATTGCCTTTAAACCATGTAGTCATGTATGTTTGTTGGGTTGTAAAGGTCACTCACTCAAGTGGATTTTAAAGTGAATTTAGTTTTCCAGCTATTTGATTGATTTAGTTTCATTGTATGATGATATTCAGGGCTCTGCGATGAATGAGAAGCCATTTTCCAGACCAGACACAGAGCGCCGGTCAGCTGCGACCAATGTCCAACGGTCAGCGGCATCAGTACGACACTCAGCTGTGGATGTTACTGATGGACAACAAGAGTAAGTATCTGACTGGCATTTAAGGTTCCTGTCAAATTTCCCAAAAGAAATAATTTTAGCATTTGTGGCACTTTTTTTAATACTTATCCCAGTGTATAAATGTATTCAAAGTGTCAGTCATGGATCAGTCCATAAATGTGGGGTCCAAAAGTGTGACATTTTGGTGTCCCTGTTACACCTGACCTGTGCAATTTTCCATAAAGTATTATTAAAATGTACTTCAAAGTATTTCTTTTTTTGTCAGGTACTTTTCTTTTATCCTCTTGGAGATAGAAGCCATTAAAGAATGTCCTGAATTTGTGATGCGATCAAGCTACATGAGTTGTTTGTCGACCCTGGTCAAAAAAAATTTTATTACAGATTTGAAAAGAGTACAACCTCAGCATTACTGCTGTCAAAACCGCATGCTGATACCATCTTTAGCTCACCAATTATGGAAGTCGGAGCACCAAGCGATGTGATGAAGTGATGTGATGAAGTGGCCCTATTTTGGCCTGTATCTCCAAATTAAAATTCCCGACGAACGACTCATTTAGCTTGATCGCATCACATTTACAAAATCTTACATCAGATGTAACAGGGACATACAATCAATTGGACCCACATTTATGGACTGACTCCTATCCAAACAAAGTTTAAATTGTTTCTAGTGGAATTGGTGAATTTACTTTCTGATTAAAAACATTTCACAGAATTTACTTTTGCATTTATTATTTGTTTTAGCATTCCACCAGCAACCAATGAACCAAATGGACAGGTATGCAGTTAATCTATTGTTTTTGGGGGGGTTTTCCCGAAAGGTAACTACAAACTTTAATCATTATTTGTTCAATTATAACTTATTCTAAAATTCTTCCTGTTCTGTATGAAGTATTACTACAGGGTGTTTAAAAAAAAAAGGAAACCAGACTTCAAAGAATGAGTATGGACAGACGATATGTTTACTGGCTATAAAACTGGTATCATCTGAAAGCGTAATCTCTATGCTTTTCAATGATACTATGTTTAGGTTTTGTGAGTCATGCATCGCTGAGCATCATTGTCTTGAAAACTGGATGCAAAAATGCAGTTGGTTTCTTTTTAGGCACTCGTGTCTTCTTCCTGAATACTTATTCTCATGCACACCATGCCTATTGCGTTTGACATGAAAGTGAACCAACTGCAATTTTGCATCAAAATCTCATGACAGTGGCGCTCAGTGATGCATGACCCTGGAAATGTAAACAAGGTATCATTAAAAAGTAATTCAGAGTTGTAACGAGTCACTGATTTTTGTGACTCGAGTCGAGTCGAGTCATTTTAAAGAAGTGACTCGAGTCGAGTCGAGTCATTAGGTCAACAAGGTCGAGTCGAGTCGAGTCGAGTCACAGAGTGTGGTCGAGTCGAGTCGAGTCGAGTCAAGTATTTAGCTCGAGTCAATCGAGTCACAAATATTTGAACACTAAATTACAATAAAAAGCAACAAACACAAGAGAGAAAGAATACAAGGCACCAGTCTATTACGGAAATCCAAAGACATAAAGTATGCTGTATGGTACCCAACCAACAGTTTCCATTGCTAGCTCACGTCACAGATAAGAAGATGTGAAACTTCGGTCTTATAACTGGTTTGGCTTCGGGTCTAGATTTTGTGTTCGCTGATCGCTGACAACGTTAAAACCATTGATCTCCATATACTGTGTATATGGAGATCAATGGTTAAAACCTAATTGCATTATACAAAACTGTTTCTGATTATTTAAAGGTGGGCCCGTCCGTATCCATTTTTTTGTGTAAAATCGGGACATGAATTTAGCCAGCGTTCCACCAAGAACTTCAAAATCGCCCGAAACCAATGATGAAACCACGGATTGAGAAATGCGTTTTAAGTCTGGTTCCGGGTTTAGCAATACATGCTATAGAACCACAAGGTGGGAGTCCGCGACACGGTGTATGTTTGTACATTATTCGCGAACATTAACGTGACGTGAACAAAAACTGCCAACGCGAACGGCGCAGCGTAAGTCATTGCAAATATTTTTCGCAAGTAAGTTTTGCTTTCATTTTGGGACTCGAGTCTTATTAGCCTTCCTCGAGTCGAGTCGAGTCATTCTGATGAGGGACTCGAGTCGAGTCGAGTCATTTGCTCACAGTGACTCGAGTCGAGTCGAGTCATTTACCCGTCGGGACTCGAGTCGAGTCGAGTCGCCAAAAAATGTGACTCGAGTCGGACTCGAGTCGAGTCATTGACTCGAGTCATTACAACTCTGAAAAGTATAGAGATTACGCTTTCAGATGATACCAGTTTTATAGCTAGTAAACATTTAGTTTGTCCATACTGGTTCTTCAAAGTTGGGTTTCCTTTTTAATGAAACACCCTGTACAGCTTTAGTTTTGTGAAATATAACTTCAGTTTTAAGATTTTTTGGGAGAATTACCTACCATGAGTGTTTGGCAAGAAAACAATGTACTTGTGCTTGTAGCTGACAGTACTTTGATTTGTCGCTGGTGTAGGTTGTTAGGCCACCAACTCGCAGCGGCAGTCGCAGCAGTCAACACTCACAAGCAGCAGCAGCAGCAGCAGCGGCAGGGGACTCAAATGACAAAGAGCTGAGTGGTAAGAGCTGTCACATTCTTTTTGGGGGGTGTTGGATTGTGAGTGGTAAAGTGGATAAAAAAAGTGAACAATATTCATAATGAACCACCACTATACTATAAAGCGCAAAGGGTGTGTATGTGTATGCACATTGAACAATGGAGGACAATAGGGTCCATGATTGACCGACAGTCCAAAATGCATTTTTATCGTCAAATTTAAGCATAAAATGAAGGAATTTTGAAATCAAGCCTGTTTTTGATTAAAGTATTCTTAGAAAGGTATACTTATCGCAATGGTATTAAGTTTAAAAGTAGAAATTGGTCAGTGTCATTTAATCTGGATATTCTCATCTAGCTTAAATAATTTTCAAACTTTTTCACTCTTTGCAGAATTGGAACTTGAGAGAGGAAAAACATTTTCAAGACAAACAGCGGTAAGTTCAAGAGTTGTTTTACTTTCAAGCTTATTTTTTTGTTTTTTAACATATAAAAAAGAATCAAAATAAAAAGCAGTGAAAAGCTCAAATCTGATTGAAAATTCAAATTAATCTCAACAAATATCTTTTCTTTTTTTGTTCATTTGCAACAGGATAAGAAACCAGAACGGACTCCTTCCTCTAAATCAGTAAACAGTGTCAATGGGAAGAGTAAAGCACAGTAAGTGTTCCTCATGGGCTGATTTTATGGAGCCACTAGGCATAGGAATTTGCTTGGAACAGCCAATATTTGTTATTCTGGTTACCAGCCTGAATAACATGTGCAGGGGTGAGATTTGCCAAGATTTTTCTGTGAGGATTTTTTTTCCAGATTTTAGGATTTTTTAAGAATCCCTTTTGAAATCTGGAATTTTTCTGAGCTTTACCCAAGGTGTTTTTACCATTAAAAGTTGTTTTGAGAGGGAGTGTGGCCTAGTGGTTAGGGTTTGTGACTCATGTTCGGAGAGTCCGGGGTTCCAATCTAGCTGCTGGCCATATGTTGTGTCCTTGGGCAAGCCACTTCATCCCCACTTACCTCTCTCCACCCAGGAGTATAAATGGGTACCGGCATTAGCTGGGGGGTAACCTGCGATGGACTAGCATCCCATCCAGGGGGAATAGAAATATTCTCAGTGGTTTCATGCCAAGAAAGCTGGAAGTAAACGCCGGTCTGATGGGCCACATTGGTTCCTGACAGACTTTGCTTCTTTTATTTTGTTTTTTGCCTTTAAAAGTTTATAAAGAACAAAAGACATCGGTGTTTGAAGGGGTACCTTTAGGCAAATACATATACCGGTATATACCATAGACCCTACATTCCTCTGGGGCCCTCAGTGACCCTCAGACCCTCCGCTGCTTTTCTTGTCAATTTTTCACTTTCACCCCAATCTCACCCCTGCATGTGGTGTACTCGTACATTCATTCTCAGGTACTTACTTTGAACATTAACTTATTAAACATTTGTCTTGTCAGCGGGTCCATGCAGTTGGATGCAAAAGTTAAATTGATTGTTGTTTTTGTCATTCTAATCCATTTTCATTTCCAATATTAATTTCAACTCATTCAGCAAAACTATTTGGTACTCGCTCAAATGCAATCCCGACAAATTTTTATAGCAATTTTTTTTCCATCCAAATTTAGATATTTTGTAAAAGATTACTCAATTACTACTGTCAAGTGTCATTGAAAACTACTCTGAAAGAGTTTTAGAAATGATCTAAGATTTGGGTTAGGCTGTTTTTTATCCTTCCAGAAAAGTCTCTTGAAGAGACTTCAGTTTATCACCAATGCACAAATGACATTGAAGATGAACTGTCCGTCTGTCACAGGAATGAATATGAGCTGGCGTTCTCCAGTCGTCCTAAGATCCCGCGTGATTCTACCTCATCTAAGGGACGTCCCAGCAGTCGTGGTATGACCCCTCCACCTGCTCCTAAGGCATCAGGATCACCTCCTATGAACAGACCTAGCACTGGGGGAAGTAGACAAAGTAAGTCCATTTAATGTCTTTCAACTGATAAAGTGCATTCCTCATAATGCACAAGAACTATTATGTACGGCAAAAAGAAAATTTGGTTGTGTTCCTCTCATCCAACCGACCCAAAAAGCTGGAAATCTCCAGTCAATTTTTTTTTTTTCTACTTGAAAAATATTAAATAAATTTTATACCTTACCTTTACTGTTTCTTTGTAATGCAATAATTTTGCATATAAATATATCGTTACAAAACGTACATACCTGCATGGTAGTACAGTTTGAATTTACGGTATTTTGTAACTGAAGCTGAGGCTTGGGGCATGTGGTGTGATGTACATGTACTGCATACAGTGTATACATGTGTGCATGCACTGTACATTGTATCACATTCATGCACGCACATGTACACAGTATGGTTGCTGCGTGCAGTACATGTAGTCTAAACGTTCCTTGTACATTGATAGAGAGGAACTGGTAACCCAATGGAATAGACGAAAGGATGGTCCTATATGTGAAACCACCCCCCCCCCCCCCAAAAAAATGTTAAAACCCTTGACCGACCAATCCACCTTATTTTTCATGTGAGGGCCACACAATATTTTTGGTCGTAAAATAGGGAATTAAGAATCGTTTAAAAGCATGAAGAAATGTTTTAAAAGTTATTCAGGAAAACCCCCATACATTCCGAGGAAATACCCACAAAATCAGGCAGGCATTCAAAACCCAATTCACATGTCTTCCTCCAAGAACCCCCCCCCCCCAAAAAAAAAAACCCAGAAAATGTACTGCATGTAAACAACTCTGCATAGTTGGACATTTATTGAAGTCTTTTTAATGCCTGCCAGCCAAGCTTTCAATTAAGGGTAGCTCAGGCATGCAGCTTTTCCTCGGATCAGCTGATTTCCTCTTTTTTCATTTCCCATGTGTGCCATTGAAAATAGAAAAACACTGTACAAAGTCTTGGAAAGATGTGAATTTCCTCTTTTTTTTGACTTCACAGTTGCATGCCTGGTAGCTGTTTGCTGCCTGTTTTCACTAATAGATTATGGAGTTATTTATTTTATTTATTTGTATTATTTATTTATTTATTTATTTATCTGTGGACATTAGCCCATTCACAGAAAAATGTTGATCTCCCAGAAGTCTGTCACTGACTGACTCCATTGCTAATATCCATTGGATACCTGTTTGATTGTCCACCATTTGTTTGAGCATCATTCTAAAAGACGTTTTCATTGTTTTGTAAACGGCTGCAACTTGTACAGTTTATACAATTCATATATTATGTGTACCTTGTCCCTTGTCAAATGTATGTCCATTTCTTACCCTCTCCATAAAGCTAAGAAGGGTAGCAGGTCTGGTGTAAGGAACGCTAGTCTGCCTCCAGTTGAGAATGTGGAATTGGATTACCAAGCTATAAATAGACCCAGCAGTACCTCTAGTAAGTCCTGGTTTGCTGTGTGAGATGGGTTCCTGCCAACTAACATGCAACAAAACATCAGCTGATTTTGATTTGTTTTCATAAGATATTAATCTAAGCTTTTCTTCCGCAGGAGTATGGGTTTCGGGGCGTTGGTGACTGTGAAGCTAATTTTATTGCACAATGCCTGACTAAATCCCAATCATCTGATTATGGGTCATTGATCACGTGTCTTTGAATTATTTGTCCAAATGCACAGTGAAGCTGCACCGCAGAAATAGAAGTTCTATTCCACAGTAAATAGAACTTCATTTCCTGGTTACATTATCGGTTGTGCTTTAACACAGCTCTGATAACTCTGTACACTCATAGTACCAGTTGACAGAGGTACCGATCAGATTACGAGGATTTATACGGGCGTTGTATAAAACAAATAATGAAATGTTTACATGTACATTCATGCAATGGAAATAATATTTTCATGAGGTGACAGACAGAATAATCCATTCCACTCGGCCTCGCCTCATGGAATGGAACATTCCATCTGTCACCTCATGAAGTTATTCTTACCTTTGAACTCATAACCATTCATTATTTGTATACTATTTATTTGGTATTCAGCTGGGATAGTCCACAAAACTCCCTTGACTGTTGGGTACATGCATGTACCTTTGTAGAAGATGAGAAGGGAAATGAGAGTTTAAGAGGTGGAAGAAAAACCCTGAAGTGACATTCAAGGGGGAAACCTACATAAGTATGTAGTGACGGAACACTCATCCTCATGTTGGCATCGAGTGTAATTCAATCCAGAGTCTAGCAGTTAGGGGGGGGGGGGGGGCAAATAAGCATCATCCAAAATCTCCAGGAAATATAAGATACAAACACTGACAAATTAACATCCTGACTTGAGAAGGGTAGTGTTCAATTGTCCTACCAGGTATGCGATTTTTCAAACTTTTGCATTTTAATAATCTGAGAGTAAGATGTTATCAGTATAGAAAGAAATGCATCTTTCAGACAATTTTTTCAATTTTCATGTTTTGTTGTTTTACAATTGACAATCTCATCCCTGCTCCCTACTTACAAACACACATGACTTACATGACTTTGTAGAGGACCATGTCCGTCAAAATCCATCACTCACTCTGATTCACATAATGCTTCAGGACCAAATCTGTTGAAATCCACCACTGGTGTTGGTGGATTTTGATAGACTTGGTACACATGGCTTACTTGCCAGCATTCCCAAAAATGGGGGATGGATTTTGATGGAGTTGGTAAGGCTAGGGATAATATGAGTAACGAGGTGTTACTAATAAAGAAGTACATGAAAAAAGTTTGGAATGGGTTGGTAAAACTAAATGGTTTTAACCAAATTTGATTTCGCAAAGTATTTGAAAGCATTGCATTGTGCTGTGTTTGCCTGGTGTGTTTATATTTTCATTGCTTCGGCTCATTGCAAATCCATTTCATTCACTAATTGACCATTAATCAATTAATTACCAACAGGTGTGGTGTCAGTCATGAGTTCAGTCTCTCTACATTTTGGTAGTGGTACATCAGACCATCCGTCCAGAGAACCTAGTGGATTGGCATCGGTGAAAAGTAGGCTGTCTGCACTAACACACGATACAATCCACTGACTCCAAATTCCCCACACCATCAAACATCTCATTTTTGTTTTGTTTTGTCATCCTTTTTAGTGTTTTATTCTGTATAGGTGGGGTTGATGCAGAATTGTATATTGTGTCAGCATCTGTCATTGTGTTGCTGTCTGTCTGTCTGTCTGCCACTGTATGTATTGTGTAATCTACTAATCTTTACAAGTCTTATGACCATACCTACCATACCCAGTCATGTGATGTATTTTGTCTTTTATGTCATGTGATCTACTAGTGTACTTCTTTCTGTAAGTCACTGAATTCTAATAGGCATTTTCATGTATTAACTCCATCTTTATGCCTCAGTGCCTGATAGCTCAACTTTTTTTATCATCATGGCCAAAACATGTCAGCATCAATCCTAATCAAATAACCTTACAATTCTGTTTCCCTTGTCAATGTTATTAAAGTCCAGGGTCCCCTTTCAAAGCATTCATGGCATTATGTTGTTTCTAGTGGTAATAATGTTCACATTAATATTACTGTATTATTAATATTATCCTACTTTGTATTGGTTTATTGGAGAGTTCTAAATACAATGTCAACTGAATTGAAATTGAAATTGAAAATTTAATCGATTTTTACGTCACGCCTTGAGCCTTCTGTGGCCTTTGCTGGCACACCAGCATTGGAGTTTTTCTAACAAGGCACCTTTCTCTAACTAATCTTGCTCACGTAATTATTTTCTTCATTTAACTTGTAACATTTTGGCCCACCATAGGTGATCGTTCGGTCTTCAGCCCAGGTTCTGTCAAGGATGACAAGCAGTAATCCTCCACCTGCTATAACCTGCGTTAATTTGTCCTAAAGTAAGATCTCTAACAGGTTGGCATGTTGCATTAACCGTCACAGAATGATGCCTGCACCACACCTTGCACCGAGTGCCCAATCACTGGAGTTGTACTTGCACATTCACTTTGACAAAGTAACTAAAATGTGACCAGATCTGAATAAAAAGTCCACAGATGGTACTTTTTGCCCCGTTTGATTTGGATGCACCCTCATGAAAGATCCTTTTCAAATTAATTTTATTCAAAAGTTGTTTTCAAAACACAATGTATTTCTTAGGGTTGTAATGAAATGGCCGCATACACGATTTCTGTCATCTCATGATTAATTGTATTGGATCTGGTCACAGGTACAGTACGGAGCATGTACTTGTGAATTGTCATGATAATAAGCCAAATCACATTGCTGTTCAAACTTTTGAAATGCTATGTTTACTTCGGAACAAGACAGTTTCCTTAGTTTTTCTGATACCTGCTATTGCAGACACAGCGAATTTTTGTCCAGATAGGACGATCGTCAGATCTTGATGCCCACATATGTGCAGTTGGAATACCGGACTGGCTTATTGTCAAGATTTTCCTTACTCACTAAATGAAAGTTATTTTTGTTTTCACAATCCATGCTTGCTGTTATCATTGTCCTCATCACAATAGATTTGATGTGAATTCCATGTTAGTGTGTTTCCTTTTGCAGGAAATGTTGGTCACCTTGAAAATGTTGGCTGAAGCTATTAACATTTAATGCACACACACGCACACCCAGCCGTGTAAGCACATTGAAAGGACAGTTCCTCTAAATCCAGTTTGTTTATTATTTTGTAGGTATGTCGTCATGGAAACAGACCGGCCCAGGGTCATCAGGAAGCAGGAAGAAATGAATGACAGAAACCTGACGTGGATGCTGTAGTTTCTGATTGTTTTCAATTCCTAAATCTTACTGGTATTCAGTTAGGATTAGCTAGGGGGCATGTATAAATGTGGAAGCATGTAGAAAAATGTGATAACAGAGCAGTATTATATTTTAGTTAAATATACATATATTTTGTCATGTCTGTGCAACAAGATCGTGTCTCCTAAAATGGGCCGTTCGTGAAACGCGAGTTTCAGAATGTCAAAATGTAGTATCTCACTTTAAATAACCCGGATGTGCACACACTTGATGGACGTCGAGTTACGACCTTGGCCAAGTTCGGGCAAGGACCATTAGTCGACTAGTGGTTGATTTGTGACGTACCTTACGCCTGCGCACTGATAGCAACGTGCGAACATCTCTAGTCAAACGCTGGTCAAAACTTCTGGATCCTGGCTCTCTGCTAGCGTTATGAATGCGCGCGGCTATTGGTTACCAGCGAAGCAACCAACCCCAGTAGGCTGGTTCCAAATAGTCGACTAGCGTAGTCAACCACCGTTGACTGGACAGATTTCGGGCAAACGTTAGTTAACCATTGGTCAACTCTAGTCCTTGCGCAAACTTGGCCCTTGTTGCACTGGCGCGATGATTTGTGGAATATGTCCAATTCCCCCAAAAATTATTAGACATCAATTTTTCTGGTGGTAGTAAATGATTAAAAGAAACCACTATCAGCAACTTTATGACCTTGCATAAAACATTTTTCAAGGATTTCAAGTTGTGCCTAAATAACAGTGCTAACTGCCACTTTCTGGTGGAATGAGGTTGATGTTATTAAACTGAAGGGACTTTTGACTGGAACCATGCGACCTTCATGCAGTACTAGACAATACTAGGCCATGTAGCTGTTAAATCTGGAAATCAGCCGAGTGGATTAGTTTTACAAAATAGATGTGGAACACTTCCTTTATTTTGATTGGTTTGATTGATCAGTTTGGTTTTTATATGCTTTCCGTTAAAATGTAATAAATTTCAGATAAAAAAAGGAGGCACTGTGATTTAATATTTTGTCCTCCACTTCCTCATGCCATTGGAAAAGAGAGAAAAGAGTTTTTTCAGTGTTGTTAAAGTGAACCAATTTTTTTCCCTCATGGTCTGTTTTGATTCGCAAACACTGATCCCAGTACTATTCATGAACATGAAAATGAAGTGCATATTTGTATGAAATCACAACAATAGTGTGCATGTTCACCTGTTTCCAACTTTGGCATGTACTCTCTCATATGTAGGTGCCCCCAGGCATGTTTGCACTTTACTAACCGCAGCTAAGTCCTTTGTGTTTGTTAACAATGACAGATTTTCTGCAAAGGTTGGATGTCTGGAAGTGATGTGAATATTTGTCTGTATGTACTGTACTTGGATATTTATACGAAAGAAATCTGTTACTTTCAAATGTTTGAATGTTGTAATTAGAAATGTATATAGTTTGTGTTTGCCTCGAACAAAACTGTACACTGTGATTATTGTATGTATAAAATAAGTTGTATATTGTGAATTGTTGGAAAATTCTATTGAATATTTTGGCAGATGTGTGGTTGGTTGCCTGGTTTCAAACATGATTGCAACTAATATATTTTTATCGACTTGTTCTTAGCAAAAGTTATTATCCAAAGAAGTACAGGCTTCAAATTCACACCTTGATTATCGTCTTAGTGCGTGTCTGAATTACTTAGCTGTGGCTTGAAATTACACACGAGCCTATGTGAAGTGGCTGCAACGGCTACCATAGACTCCTGTGTAATTGCAAGTCGTAGCCGAGTAATTTGGACACGACCTTACTGAGTAATTTGCAGGGATTAGAATCTTCCTGTTTAAACAGGAATTCCTGGTTTGTTTTTGTTTTTCCCCAAATGTCCACATTTTTATCTATTTTGAGCCTGTTTTGGGGCTTTTTTGCCTGATTTCACATTTTTTTTCTTCAGTTTTCCTGGGTTTTTTTTTTTTCATTGAAATTTATTATCATGTCTGAATTTGGTCGTGACATAGCATAAAGCATATAAATGGCAAACCAGTTGCAGAAATGCTTTAATTCAGTGCCCCGGGATTACAGGCTTGAAATACTGAGAAGTTTGAAGTTTTTTTAACGGGCTGCTAATTTCCAAACCCGTTTCGTCATCTCTTCATTACAATGGATGCTTGTACGAAAACCTTGTTTGTTAATACAGTACTCATAGATAATTGTGAATATCAAACAGAAAGTGACTATAATTGTTAATTCTTCTCTGTTAACTATGACAAGACACCTTAATAATGCACACTAAGTTTAAGTCCATTTGCATCCCGTCACCTTGCCGCTGTAGCATTTATTACTCATTCTGTGTACATGTTATTCTATTCTGTTATTACATTTAATTGCATAATTGTAGGTTCAAGTATTACAGTAATATACTCACTGGTACCCACTGCCCTATCATAGCCGGTGACTGCCAATTTTCTTTGTGCCCTCATTGGCTGGATGTGTTTGACTTATCACCCAGGCTCAACACATCTGTTGTGCACATTGTGGGTGCATGGCATACCTCGTAACTACCCACAATGCCTTAGACTTCCTTCTCAATATTTATTTATTTACTTCGACATTTCTGTCGCGGGTTGTGGAAAAGGTTACATAACCCATATAAAATCCACAATCGCTTTAAAATATTAAAAACAGGAATATTTATATATAAACTATTAAACTAAAATCGGGTGGCCAATATGTTGTGAAAGAGGCCCGATCAGAATGACCTGTCTATGGCTTCAGCGGCTTCTATAGCGCATGTGTGACAGAAAGCCGCAGCCACGCAATTCAGATATGGCTAGGGCTTGGCCATCGTTAGCTGTTTGCAATAGGGCAGTGGGTACGAATGGTAGATAGCAAAAATGGTTGTAATTAAAGCTTAACAAAAGTACCTTAAGGGCTCTGTGTAAATGGGACCTGGTCCTATGAAATTCTGGTGAGGTCACAGAAAGTTGTTTTTTGACTGAATTACATTTTCAGATTCAGTTTTTTTTTAATGCTTTTATAGGACTTGTCAATACTTAATGTGTTCCTTGAATCAGACAGTTATGAATCATACTTTTTTTTATGTCTGGGGTCCTACCGAGTTCATCATCTCGAGAGACGTCAATGTAGGATCTCCATTCAATGAATAACAAAGTTGAATTTTAAACATTGAAATTTTCAACTATTCTCTTCATATGTTACACGATATGAGACGGAGGAAAGCCCCCTCCTTTGTGTTGGTCATTGTGTTACCACAATCTCAGGTGAGATATCTAGGGGGATGTGTTAGGTCACAATAGTCTAGGGTTGGCATAGGGTATGGGGGGGGGTACCCCTTCGTCTCAAATCATGCTGGGTATAATTCTGTTATGTCATGGGAACAGGTCACTACAATTATCAGTACAAACATTACACTTTTACTGAGTACAAAGTAGCTTATTTAAATTCAAACCCAACTTAATCAAATCCAAACCAGTTCCAAATTATCATTTGTTTGTTTCAGCTAAACAGAAGCATAGGTTAAATAGGACAGTACATACATTGTAGCTTGCTTAAATTTGAAGCAGGTTTGGCTGTTTTGTACAATTGATTCATTGTGTGATTAGTTTGCTTTCCGATGATTATATGAGCTATTATATGAGGCAGCAAAGACATAAGATTGCAACTAAATATACATTGACATTTAGAACGCTTTGTCATTTGAATCTTTTACAGATATTTTTGCTGAATATTGTTTGTTCTGGTTTTTTTGTCTTATTTTAGTCATCTGTTTTAAGTACTAATTTACAAAGTAAGCCATAAACTATTCAACCAAAATATACTTTAAAGTATAAAACCATAATTTACAAATCTGTGTACATGTTCAATTCATGAATAAAATGTTTGCAATGAGTATTGCAAAAGTACAATTAAACATTGACCAAGTGTTTTATTTTATTTTTTGAATTTTTTTTTGAAATTTTGAATGAAGCAGCTGCTGTTGAAAATACAAGAACACATTTGTACAAGTTTAGCAAATATGATTAAACATACTGGGATCATCACACAAATGCACAATCAAGCGTGGAACAATATGCTACCCCCCCCCCCCCACACCCCCATTTCAAGATTACGTAGGCCATTTAAGTATCAGCAATGAATTATTCAGCATTCTATTTGCGTTCACATTGCAGATAGATCAATTTACAAAATGCGAACAAAGTCATGGATAACAGTAATTGTATGGACAATGCATGTCAAGTGTTGACCAGTTTAATCTACACCACCATTTTTATGGCGTCATGTTTTCAAACATTGTAAAAGTCAATAAACGAAGAATATCCATTCATTTAAAATCAGTCAAGGTATTAACAAAGACTGGTCGCAAAATACTCAAAACGAATTGGAAATATCTAACAAAATGATTAATTGCAAAAGAAAATAACTGACGCACACGACTCGAGTGGTTCCCGGCCCCTTGATTATCATTCTCATAGCTCAACCCACATAGTAATGGAAGCGGGAACCAGTCTTATTTAGCGCGCGGGGTTCAAAGTTTGTCGACTTCGTCTGCAAATCATCGGGAAAACATTTTAATCTCACTGGCTCAAAATTACGATGCAAATGGGAAGTTCTATTACACCGTGGAAGCACTGATACCATGGATCGTGTGAGGAATTTTATAAGCTTTTGGGAAGAGTAAGGATGGTTGACATTTCTCCATCAATTCAACTTGGTGAGTGACATTTTGTTGTATGTACATGTAGGCCTATGTACAGATATTGCATTAACATTTCCACAACGTGTAATGGTGTACATTTTCACGCTGAAACTTTGACGTGCACGTGTGCATGCCCCTGGTCAAGATTGGCATTCGGTCAGCTGCGAAAGATATTTCAACGAAAACAACAGTCCAGATACCAGCTATAGTATAGTATACTTGTAAATTATGGCGTGTCGTTTTGCAATTAACCAATTTCAGAACTCGTGATTTTAATAATTTATTTGTTTTCATAATGAACTTTACAGTTTTGTGCATTAGCTTACCATAACATAAATTTTACATCGGAACCAATTAAATTGTGTGCACCATTTTATTTCTCTGAAATTTTGACATCCCTATTTTGGATTTTGTTTTCTCGAAAAGTGCTCTTCTTTAAACATTTAAAATGTACCATTCATGCTTTTTGTGACAACTGAGGGCGCTGTTGCTGTGACGTCATTAGGGACACACTTTTCAGTTTAGGGGGTTTTATTCAGATTGTGAACCAACTGTGGAAACAACAAATGAGTACGACGGCAAAATATCCAAAAATCTGGGAACTTTGGTGCTTAAATAGCTTAACTGAGGTTTCTGTCTGAAAGAAATCGCACTTTTG